ATTGATAAAAAATTTAAAAATTGTTAACATAATCTGCTTTATATGCTTAATGTGTTAGAGAGGTTTCTTATTTAATATTCAGTACTATTTGATTTTCATGGCTTCCGTGATAAATCGCCGAATTATGTAAAAACGGTAGCCAAACAAAGGGCAACCATAAACACTTTCACTTTTGATTTCAACTTTCCGAATTTGAGGGATAAATATTCAGTACAATAATATACCACAAATAAATCCAACAATAAACAATAAATACAATAGCAAATAATAAAAATATACAATAACAATATAAATGTAATAATAAGCAGCAAAATAGTCGAAATTGATGAGAGTTTGTTCATATGGCGAAAAAACAATGCTAGCAGGGTACTTCTACAATAGTGCATATTCAGTGGCTTATGCTGTAAAAGGGGCAAGTGCTTTGTTCAGGTTCCAAATCAAGAAGTAAGCACACTGATATCAAGAATTGTAGACCACCTAGTTGAAGGGTTGACAATATATTCAAATTGTTCGTTAGCATATAAAACAGAAAAGCTTGAAAAGACTGGTTACAGATATTTAATTGTGAAGCACACATTTCATTCTGTTGATTCAACAATGGTTGCTCGCACCCAAAATGTGGGAAGATTGTCGGGCTCCGTTATATGGTGAAATGAAAAGGAAAGAGGTATGACTCGACATATATTTAACATTTTGCACCCATTACACACATTTTCTCTACATTTGGTACCGTTAACATCCACATCACAACAACCATCTACAGTCTTATCTTTTGGAATTCATGTGGTGGAAATCCTGTGGGAAAGATAAGTTTTTTTATGTCATATTAAAAGCAGTTGGGAGATATGGCAGATTGGCAAAAATCTTGGTTCTATTTTGGTAATGGAGGCCGTGAAAGCAAGTAGTAGTAGAACTAATACAGTACAAAGTCCGAAATCTGGACTCGTCAGGACTTCAGCGATTCTGAATTTGGGATTTTTACGGATAATAGATCATCAATTTAAATTTAATGTAAAATTTTTATTTTGTAAGATGGCATGCAGAAATTATACAATTAGAAATATGAAATCATAATTTATGAAATAAAGAACAATAATGTCTAAAGGGTATCAACATTTACAAAAAAAAAAAAAAAGGGCTTAATAGTTATTTGTTTGCTTTATTAACATTCTTTCAATGTAAGTTGTTTAAGTTGCTTCCATAAAAATCAAAAAGTTAATTTTGTTAGTCATATACATTCTTTCCAATGCCATGCTCGTTCCATAATTTTGAGACGAATATGCCTTAATCCATTTTTTGAAGCAATTCCACTTTTTGTTTAATGGACATCAAAACATGATTTCACTTTGTAGATCCTTTGGCAGCTCCAGAACTGGAAACTCTTTTCTATATAATCGAAAGTTAAGCTTAATTTTTATAAAATTGCTGTAATAATAACAGTCTGCAAAAAATAATAAGCTGGATTAAATTAGAAGATTAAGGAACAGCACAGTCTACTACATTAACTGAAATGCCTTAATCAGTTAAGATAATTTTTTAACCTAGCTTAATAGCTCCGTTTAACATATTGTGTGTTCGCAATTGGCGACGAAAGCCAATTGTTCTGCTAAATTTTTCTTGCCCTTTGCGTACTGATAGCCTGATTGTATTATTATTTAATATACCTACATTTATTTCTTGCACACGCTTAAAACTAATCTGATCCTGAATAATAAACCCCATATCTTAAGGCTTTATTAGGGCCGGTGCTAGATACCGCCTGGTGCAGTCTCTAAATTCTGCTACAAAGCACCTTCCTAAGTTCTAAATTTTTGCCGCACCTAAACTTTGGATCCCAGTTCTTCCCCCCCCCCCCTAAATTATAAAAAACTTCTCATCCCTTAATTTTTGCCGCTCGGTGCTTCCCCAGATTCCAAAAATTGTGTCTTCCCTAAATTCTGCCACTGCTTCCGAGTTTATGGTGAATAACTTATCAGTTATTCTTAATTAAAATAGTACTAAATGTAATCTTTTGTCATATGAGTTTCATTAACAAAATCTTTTTTTAGCATATGAAAAGAAATTTTTGTTGAATTTTTTCTCGTCAACATTTCTTAGAGCATTTAAAAAAATTATAATCATCGCCAAGTATAATGTTAGCAGAAAAGGTTGCCTTACTCTTGTTATTCAATTACTAATATAAAAAAAAGTTTAGACGTCACTGCATGAGTTATTACTGAAGCTGTCATGTATTGGTAAACATGCAGTGTTGAAAGCAAAATATAGTACATAATGACTTGCCAGGTCGGCATCAGGGATATAAAGTAGATGAATGTTTCGGTTTGAGATGTGATGTCAAGCAGACACTCAGCTGCAGAGCCAAATTATTAATCTCACAAATTTATGCTTACATGACTGTTTTTTGATAACGATGTATTTCATTTAGTGCCTAAATGAAATTAAGAATCGGAATTTTTAAGGGAAAATCTCCACATGTTTTATTATGGAAGGAAAAATCAAATGTGCATGCATAAAGCATACAAAAAAAAAAAAAATTTGTGCCTTTGAAGTTTGGATTTTAGATCATCCTGGATAACTGATGTCTGGATTTTGGACTTTATACTGTATTCATATATTTATTTTTAGTGCACATTTGCTAAGAAATCAATAACTAAATCTTACCAAGAAAAGTGCAATTTTACAGTTCAAAAAGCAGTATATACCATTCCTAATATACTGATTATTTAATCTTCTTTTTCATTTTTTGAATTGCAATATTTGGTATAAGTAAATACATTATGTGTTGAAGAATAAACATATGCAAACTTAGTTGAATATAAGAAATTCATTATTTTTTTTATTTTCAACAAAATGCAAAATTTTTTAGCTTAGAGTTATATTAACTACTAGCAGCTTCGCTGCCAGCCTTTGTCTGGCTTTTAAATGTACCGGAAAAATGGCTTCTTTGTTTTGTTATATGTAGAGAGGAATTTATGCATAATAAAACGCATTATTTTTTAAATAAAATGACAACAAAGTATCGGTTACCATAAATAACTTATCCAGGAATGGGTTTACCATAAGTCGTATTACTCGCCAAAAGAAATTATCAAAATCCGTGCAACCGTCTACCAAAGTAGCACCAAAATTACAATGAAATAAGCTATATCCTTATACAACTATTAAGTATCCTAATAAAAAATTAACCACTTTCCGTTGAGAAAAAAATCATGGAACCTTTCAATATCTTACAAACAGTGAAATAAGCAAAAATACATGAAAGAAACTCAAAACAAACATTCCCGCACAGAATTTTACTCTGCAGAACAAATTTATAAAAACATTAAAAAAATGGCAATGAATATCAATCTCTTAAAAACAGTGACATAGAAATACAATGAAAATTGTTGCCCACCCATATTCTAAGAATGAAACTATTAAAATGATGCGATTTTCATCAAAATCTATCAACAACTACTAAAAAGGAAATTGTTGCCTGTGATATCTTCATTCTGAAGTGTTGAGTCATTTAATTCACAGTAGTTGTCTTTTGATTATTTATTGAAAACAATAACATGATTGAAACAAATATGAAATATCATACGCGGCACAGTGCCGGATCTACACCTCATTCCATATCATCGTTCCTGTGTGTTCTAACTATATTTCCCCCCGCCGCGGAAAAAGCGACATCAGTTTATCCCGTTAGAGATTTTTAGTTGGAACACTGCCAAAATCACATTTGTAAAGATGCGAGATGTGAGAAGTGTACTCAGAAGCTTCATTAAAAAAAATTTTTAAAATGCAAAATATTATCATTTTTTCCAAAATTCTTTTTGTATAAGCAGTCGCAAGGATGAAAAATTAACGTGTCCAAAAATCAAAGAAAAATAAACTGTACATTTTTAAACATAAACGTTTTTAGAAAAATCCCCGTTGAAAAGGTGTTAAGCTCACTTTGTTAAATAAATTCGTATTTAATCGGTTTATTGAAACTTGAAATTTATTTTAAGTTCGTAAAATAGCTAAGTGCCTACATTTCATGACGATGTGAAAATGGAGTGCGTAGAGTAAAATCTCGCTTTCCCATTATGTCTGAAAATGACGCGATTTCATCACAAAACATAAAATTAAAAAAATTCTAAATCGAATTCCAAAAAAATCGCTTCGAGGTGCATTGGCTCTTGTCTAGATGCACCTATGTACCAAATTTCGTAGCCGTGTGTCTATTAGCTTACGCACAGCGCGAAGGAAAGACACACACACACAGACAGACTCTTTGTTTTATTATATGTAGAGAATCGTAACTAGAATCTAGTACTAAATCCAAAGTGTTTTCCAACTTTACATTTAAAATTCAAAGATATTCATTAATTTGCTAATTAATTTGCTGCTGTTATTTTTCCATTTCTATTATCAACTAAGTTTATAATTTTTGGGGATAAATTTGGGAAGCAAGTGCAAAAAGAATTTATTCATTTTGGGAATTAAAGATTCAGTCTTAGGTAAAACAACATGCTTTCTTAAAATTTGGAACTGCTGCCTTGTTTTGGAGAAAAATCCATATAAATTTCTCTGAATTTTTTACATAAAAGTAAGAAAATTTTGTTCCCAATAAACTAAAGCATGATAAATGGTTTACGAGTAAAGAATGTTTGCTCTACAGGAATCATGCCAAAAGTTAGATTTTATTTTTCAGACCACCTCTTGCATATTGACTTAAGATAATTTTTTATAAATTTCAAACTTAAGAAATTTTGTAACTAGAAGTTTATAAAGTATCTAACTATACTTTTTAACACTTTAGGTGCATATTTTTTAAATTTTTCATCTACACAGATTTGAATTATGTAAATTCTACAGTAAATACAAGTGCAAGAAGTATTTAGGCTAATAAGGCTCTCGACTGAGAGAAAAAAAAAAAAAAAAAAATGGTAGTATTTAAGAACATTTTAATATGATATATGCATGTTTTATTGCAATAGTATTTCATTTGTATTTTTTCTGAATTATGCTGTATTGATTTGTTCTGTTTGGTAAAATAGGTATCCTAAAGTTCATCCTTTAGAACTAAATGAATCTCTATATTCAGAATTTAAAAATATTAATGTTTCTGCGTCACAGTTGCCTGAAAATATCATTAAAGAGGTGAAGAGTCTTAAAGAACAAATGGATGAGGGTATGCTCCTTATTTCGTTTCTATGTTTAATCCTTAATCATTAATAGGCAAAAATGTAAATATTTTTAATGTTTCTATATTTGTAATAACTACAAGACATTAATTTATATCTTGTAACTGTTTTTGTATTTCAATAATCTTGTGTGTATTCTTGTAAATGATGAACTTAATTTAGACTGTTGTTAAGTTATATTAAGTGTTATAGTCTGCAAGCAGATTTTATTTCATAAAAAATCTGCTCTCAAAAATTTTATCATGTCAGTATTTCATAATAGAATGTTTATTAGGTCATTTTATACCAGTTTGTTATAAGGCCAGTTAAGTGAAAATAAGGTAATTTGGGGATGTACACATAATACAGGGTTCGTACGGTCCTTAAGAGTCCTTAATAGTCCTTAAAATTCCTTAAATTTTTGAAGTCGATTTTTGGTCCTTAAAAGTCCTTAATTTTGGCCAAATTCAGTAGAAGGTCCTTAATTTTAATCATCTGAAATTTCTCTCTGTTTTTACGACTGCCATTTTGAGTGTGAATTAGTAATTTGGAGGAATATTTTTGGCAATTCACTGACGTATATGGTTATCTTTTGAATGGGTTCATGGGTTATAAATTGTTTCTATTTCTAATATAAATGATTGGATACTCGAGTTTCTAAGCAAGAAGTGAAACATAAGCATTTCGAAATTCATTTTTTCTAATAAAGAGCTCTTAAGCAACTTTTCGCTTGGGGTTGTGAATTCTTTTTACTAAATGGTTCTAAATTTGACAACTTGTCAACATTTTGGCGATTTTAAGATCAGTTTTCTATAGAAAATTTTTAATTCGAGATCTGAGAATTTTTCAGCGATTTTTTAAAAACATCATAACATTGATAAAATTTCATTAAAATAATGGTAATATATTAGAATTATATTTAAAAAATAACATTAAAATAAAACATTTTTATTTTTCAGTGTCATATTATAAAGTTTCATTTTGGCAACTTATTATACAATATTTTAAATCTGAAAAATAAACAAGGTATATAGCTATAAAGCATAATTTACAAAACAGCTCTTAGTAAAGCAAAATTAGCTATGTAATTAATTAAAATGTCTTCTTTTTAATTTTTTCATAGTAAGCATTTTTCCCATGTAATTGTCTCAGATTAGTACATCATCCAACACCCATCAAGTAACCATCAACACCATCAAGTAAAACTTATTCTTTGCATCTACTGAGACTTATATATAAAATAACGTATCACCTCTGGTGCTTTAATGGCTTATTGGAACCTTAAAGTATATTAACTGGGTTGCCAACCCCTAGGAACTCTACACAAACCTATGACCACTAACTGCATCAGACAGATAGAGCATTGACTAACTTTCAACACTTGCCAACCCTGCCTACATCAGACCTTTCAGGTTGTTCCAGTCAGCAGGTCTCTCTCTAAACAAGCAAGCAGCAGTGGTACAACCATTCCAGTCTATTGGTTATGAATCATGCTGATTATGATCTCACTTCTTATTTTAACCTATTCCGTTTGACATAAAATCTACCTGCTGCTTATTTTCTAAATCTCCAGACTGACCAAGTATGTGACAAATAATGCAGACATAAATAAATGAAATAAAATAAAAAAAAACAGCATAAAGCTAACTATTAGTAAAACGTAAATGTCTCTTATCTTTCTTTTAATATGTCCAACTATTATAAGTGTAAAATATTTAATGCTACTTGATAAACTGTATGAGTTTATTTTTTCTCAAACTTATTAATAATTATGTTAGTTAATTTGTTTAGTAAATAATGTATACTACTTAGGGATCTATTTTATTTTTAGAATGGTATTACAAAAGTGAAATTCAGGCATAGAATAACATTTTTAATTGAGTTTATTCAGTTCCCATTTGCTCATAGGTCCTTAATTTTTTTCATTAATGGTCCTTAAAAGTCCTTAAAAGTACTTAATTTCCATGCGCAGTAATGTGTACGAACCCTGTAATATTATCATTACTGATATGTGATGTTTTATGCCAGTGGTCTCAAACTCAAATTGCACATGGGCCAAATATATGATCTGAATGCAGCTGAAGTGCGAAAGTTTTATTTATTTATTTATTTTTATTAACTTCAGACAAAATGGAATGTTTTTTAACAGAAGAAATGTTTTAAACTAAATTTTATGTACTAAATATTTATTAAAACATACATAAACAATGAAGCAAAGGAAAACATTCCAATGTATATTTATTTATTTTTTTTTATGTAATCTAAAGCTTAGTATCTACAAGAAATTTTTATTGGTTACACTTTGTAATTCAAATGTACTGATAGCTAAATATTAAATTTTCAGTCTGATATTTGTTTCAAATAATTTTAACATGTTGAATTAACTTCTAAATAATTTACTTAAAACAAAAACTTATGAAAACTTTCCATGTAGGACAAAACTTTAAATAAATAATGACAACCTATTATTATTACGAGGGCTATTTTTTTTTTTCAACTTCCGATGGGCTGTAAAGAAAAGACGGGTGAATATACAAAAAAGATTTTATTACCAAAAGTAATGTACAATACAGGTTATTTCTCTACATAATCACCTTGACGATTGAGGCATTTGTCATATCTGTGAACAAGCTTTGCAGTACCCTCTTCATAAAATGCTTCCCGCCAATGATTGGAAGTGAGTTGTGACAGGTTTCTTTGAGCTCCACGTCATTTTGGAAGCGCTGACTTCCCAAGCTAGCCACTGCTTCAGTTCAGGGAAAAGATGAAAGTTAATCACTCGGCCGCTAGGTCGCGGACTATGTGGTGTATGTTCGAAAATGTCCTATTGAAATTGCTGAAGGAGCCGTTGGGTTACGCGATCGCTGTGAGGATGGGCATTGTCGTGGATCAGAACAATTCCAGAAGTCAGCATGCCTCTTTGTTTGTTTTAAATAGCTCTCCGTAAGCGTTGCAAAGTTTCACAATATGAATGTGCATTAATTGTTGTTCCAGGCTGCATAAACTCCACAAGCAACACACCTCTTTGGTCCCAAAAAAGTTGCCATAACCTTAAGGTTGTTAAAGGTTTATTTGAATTTTGTGGGTCTCTTTGGAGAATTTGTGTGCATCCATAGTTGTGATTGTTGTTTCGTTTCAGGTGTGTCATATTGAACCTATGTCTCATCACCTGTCACAATGGATTTCAAAAACTCTTCTTCATCAGTATTGTAACTGGGTCAAGAAACTCAAACGCTGCAACCATTCCGTCGAATTTTGTGGGTCGTTCAGTCAACATCTGTTGGGACCCAGCGAGTGCACAACCTTTTCTGTAGTGCAACTGTTCAGTAGCGATAGAGTACAGGGAAAGATCTTGGAAACTTCTGGAAATTTCATCGATAATTCACTTATGGTGAACCTTCGATTTTGCTTAAAACCGCTTAGGTCAACTCCATTGTAACAATGTCGTCTGTAGCGACAGACATGCGTGCCTTGACACCTCCTTCATCATGCACATCAGTTCGGCTATCTTTAAACTTTTGACACCATTCACGAACAACGCCATCACTCATAAAACTGTTTCCATACACTCGACTCATTCTTCGATGAATTTCCGCTGCACTGTTCCCTTCTGCCTGCAATAAACGAATAGCAGCTCGCAATTCACACTTGGCAGGAGAATCAATAATGACAGCCATGTTTATGTGACTGCAACTCAACAGAAAATGGTGTGTTGAATACGCCAGTGACAGAGCATGTGGAGGGGGAGATGCGCAGTCGCCTACTATGTACACCAACCACCTGACGCATACCTGGCCATCATACTGTGCGATCGGAGGTTGAAAAAAAAACAACCTACATATCATTTTTGACACACACAGAAAAAATATTCAATTACATATAAATACAAAATGGTATGTAAATAATTATAAACTTCTTTATTTCTTACTCTAAATTTCTTCTGAAAACCTTATGACACTTTGATTTTAATTTACAAACTTGGGAAAAAGTTGCTAGAAACTATCTTTGGCACGTATTACAGATACTCATTGGTCAGTCTGGTTCTTTTTTTGACTTAATGAACGAAGGTGATCACAGATTTGATGAAATTTGATATGGACAAACATAATACAAAAACATATAATTTTTAGCTGCAGAAAAAAAAACTGTTCACATATCACTGTATTCTCCAACAAAGCAATGATTCTTATTGCAAAAGTTCATAACTGAGAGTAATTATCTTTTGACAAATACCAACAAAAGTTCATCACATCTTCTTTTTTTATATATCTTCAAATTTTTTAATAAGAATTATATTACACGGTAAATTTTCTGGAACATTACTCACATTTACTTTTAATGTTAATGAAAATAATGTAAAATTTGACTCAAAATTATTAAAGTCTTTCTTCAAATTCTTGCTATAAAAATTGATGTCTTAAAAATCCTAATCAATTAATGGGAATTGTGTTTCACGAGTAACATAAAATTGCTTCAGAGGCATGTGACCTGTAAGCCATCAGTTTGAGATCCTTGTTTTATGCAGTACAGTTAAAACTGATAAAAAATAAGTGATACATTTATTATGCTAGTTTTAAGTATTAAATGATAAAAATGTTTCACATTTATTAAATGATTTCTTTTCATCAGCATATTGTTGTGTATTAAAAAAGTTATTTATTGACAAACATTTATTTAAACATTTATATTAGTAAATTGAGTCTGAGAGATTTTTTTATGCCATTTCTAAAGAAATAGAAAAAAAAAATATTATTATTTTGTTTAATTAAATAGCAAGTCAGATGTTGTCATGTTCTCTGCAATTAGCATCATTAAGATTAAGTTCATATTTAACACATCTGCCCAGCTGAGACATGATCCCAAGCTCTTGCAAATTGTTATAACAATTGTTGATGATGAATTAACCTCCTCTGGCAGTTCTTCAATAATTGCATATGGATTCTTTCAATTGGAGCTTTAAACACATCATTATTAAAAAAGACAGGGCATTGTCAGCAGCTAGCATCTTCCAAGCTAAAGTTGCTTATTTAAAATTTAGAGAAGCATCATTGGCACTTGCAAGTATTTAAAATTATTTTATCATTGTATGCTTCCTCCACACTTTCTTACAGTATTTGCTGCACTATTTGCTTTTCTATATTCATAGAACATGTGAATATGTATGCCATGATGTACTCTTCTGTGACTACCATTTTCATGAGGGGCTATTAAAGCAAATTAGTATATCACCTTGAATTTACCTGAATAAATCGTCTTTGCTCAGTTGTTTTTATATACCCTTTAAAATCACATATTTAAACATGTCAGAAATTTTTCAACATGTCTACTGTGAAAACTATTATTATCTGTAGGTGATCTGATATATTCTGCTTTGTATACAGGTTAGGGTCGTTTATTGTTTTCTATGCTCTTCACTTGCATGCTTGAGGAGCAGAAGTCCTCTAAGCATAAAATTTTGTATATTTATATGTGACAGATATTACCAATAAATTTATATTATTGGTCATAGCTATAAAAACATCAAATCTGTAAAAAAAGTATTTTTTCACTACAAAGAAACATTTTTAATAAAAGGTAAAATTTTTATATTTCATATCCCTTGCATGTAGCTGAAAATCAAGTTCCTACTTATACAGTCAAAAGTCGTTAATCCGGACTCGTCGGGACTTCAGCGATTCCGGATTATCGATTTTTCCGGATTATAGATCATCAGTTTAAATCTCGTAAGATGGCATGCAGAAATTCTAAAATTAAAAATATGAAACCGTAATTTATGAAATAAAGAACAATTATGATCTAAAGGGTATCAAAATTTACAAAAAAAAAAAAAAAAGCTTAATATTTATTTGTTTACTTTATTAAACATTTCTTTCAATGTAAGTTGTTTAAGTTGCTTCATTTTATGTGATAATACTTTCTCTTTAATTCTATAAACAGACATGATTTCTTGTTCAGTTACAAAGTTCCAGTTCCGCTGTTCAAGTCCCGTAATTACTGTGCCGAAAATACCGACTAACTTATCAATTGAAATTTTTTCGTTTTCACTAACCTCTCTGTCACCTTCTTCATGTCTTTATCCAATTTTTGCAGCAATACCACTTTTTGTTTGACAGACATCGAAACATACTTTCGTTTGTAGATCCTTTGGGAGCTCCAGCATCGGAAATTCTATTTGATATAATCGAAAGTTCAAGTTTACTTTTATAAAATTGCTCTTACAGTCCAAAAAATAATAAGCCGGATCCAATTCGAAGATTAAGGAACAACGCAATCATCATTAACTGAAATAGATAATTAGATAATTTTAGCTTATACCATCCGTTATACATAAAACGTGCACGTGAAAACGTATTCTGCGCTTGCGCACACACATATGCGCAGTCGTAAAGGTCTTACATGCACGCGTAAACGCCTATGCGCATGTGTCAACGCGGCGCATGCGCAGAAATTTTTTAGCTTTGAGGTCCGGATTATAGATCATTCCAGATTATGGGTGTCCGAATTAACGACTTTTGACTGTATATGTATAGTTGGTTTCTTTTTACACAAAAAAATAGATATTTTAAAAAAGAGAGCCAGTTGACTGTTTCTGTGGAGAGTTTTAATTTTTATAAATATTTATGTATATGCTAAATATCTATTTTTCAACTTCTATGTTAAAAATACCTTCAATTGATGAAAATATTTTCAAAATTATTTTAATTATTTATAATTCTTTAAAAATGATTTTTTGATTTTCATTTTATATATTTTTAAGAGTTTTGCCACATTTTCATTAACAATGTACAACACATTTATTACAGGTTTATTAACTGTGAATGGATTTCTAAAGAAGAAAGCTCTCGTAATAGGTACATATATGCATAGTTTTAAAAATGCATCTAAAGAAACACCTGTTCTAGTGACTGAAATAAACTTTGAATCAAATGTAAATAATAATGTTACAGCAAAGCATGAAATTTTATTACCATCAGAGAATATAGCTTCTTTGCAAAAAGGATCAAAAATTCAGGCAAACATTGCATCTAGTATGGGTTTTAATTCTAACACGAATGAAACTAAAGAGAATGTAAAGCTGAAATGGCAGTCGAGCATCCGAGCTATCCAACAACAGTTGCGAAGTGCTTCTGCATTTTCGAAGTCTCAAGTCTCTGATTCTTCTACAAGCTCACTGCTTAAAAATTATTTTAAAAATCTTAGCAATTTCAATTCAAAAAAAGTAAGTTTTTAATTTACCTTTTTTGTATTAAATTTTTATCTTTTTGCTACATTCATAATTATATTGTACATCGATGTAATGAAAGCTCATGGACTGTGGCAGGCTCCAGTGTTGGTACATAAAAAGCTCACAAATTTATTTGCATAAATCAAAATATTTCTAGTTCAGTAATTTTGTGTGTGATTAGTAGATTATCTATCCAAAGAAACTGCATGGCAATATATTAATAACATTTTTTAACATTTAAAAACTTAGAAATTAGTGAATGAAAATTCTCTCACCTACCATACATAGCAAAATTATAAATTAAAAGAATGTTACAATCTAGTAAATCACAATAGACTATCACTGAAGGACATTAAAACAAAACAAAAAAAACAAAAACAAAAAAAAAAAAAAAAAAAAAAAAAAAAAAAAAAAAAAAAAAAAAAAAAAAAAAAAAAACTGAAATTGGACAGCCTAACATTATTGAAACAATAATGACAACTTGTCTTTTAACCCTTGATTTTTTGTTAAAAGTGTATACATCTGCTTAGTTTACCTCAAGATATGGTATTTAGACCATTTAATTATTTTTCATCTATAATGCCTTTAGCTTACCAGTAGTCAAGTGGTAAATCATTAAATACCAGGTTTTTTTTTTTTTTTTTTTTTTTTAAATTTATTATGCGCTCCGCCCTTAGGCACTACACGGAAAGGGAGGGATGCCCCGTGGAGGTCTTTTTAAGGGGAACTGGCTCGTATCCACGTTACACGTGGGGAAAACCACGAAAACGCCCATGCAGCCAGCCCGTTCGCCGGGACTCGAACTCCAGAACGAACTACCAGTGTTCAGCGGCTTTTACCACTCGGCCACTGGTGGGCCTTAAATACCAGGTTTGAGTCTTAGAAAATGGGCTGGTTGTGTGGGAGGTTTCATGGTTTTCTCACTGTAGTGTGAATACAAGCCAGTTTCCCTTGAAATTTGCTGCACTAATTCATCCTTTCCAGTAGGCAGATAGCCAGTATGTGCTTTGCCGTAGTTAAAATAATCCAATTCAGTCTACAGCATTCACGGTTAAGAGAATTTTCTCAGTTGATAAATTAACTTCAAAACTGAAGGGCAGACTTAATAAAATCTGATATGAACAAAGATGATCACAGATCTGATGAATTTTGATATGAACAAATATAATACAAAAACATATACCATACAATAGTCAGGGTTGCATAAGTCTTATCTGCAGAGGAAGGTCTAAAATAGAAGTTTCAAAATTGGGACAAACAAACAAACAAACAAAAAAAAAAAAAAAAATCTGATATGTGGCATGATTCTCTGTAATAATCATATCTATTTCACAATGTAACTTCATACTAGAAACAAAACAGTTTATGAGTTCCTGTTGCTCTCACTTCTGCAGCAATGCTGTTTTTTGGGTTCTGGAAGACAGGGAGGCAGAAGATAAGTTGTAATTACTTTTTTAACAGTCTCCCCAGCATGTTCTGTAGTATTTAGGTTGGAGATTTGACCGCTAGTCTATCCATTTAACCTTTTCCCAGGAGCTGGGACATATATGTCCCGAGCAAAGTGTACGACACCTGGTGGTCCGGGAGAGTTTTTCCTTGGTCGCAGGGGTAGGAATTCTAACGCTTGAGGCTTGACGACTATTTTACAACTATTTTACGACACCCTAACGAGTGCGTCTTTCGAGTGATTCTGCTAATGGGTAGGGGTAATTGTCCGTAGTTTGAACCTACAACTCGATGTCGTCTTCGATGTCTTCCGGGAAATATTTTCTCAAGAGGAGAGAATAAAAATACTAATTTGTTGCTTCAATTCTCGCGCATTTGCATTTTAAGATCTTTCTTCAATTTTTTTTCTTTTGCAAATGCCATTATAAATTCTTTGAGTTGATATTTATCATTTTTTCGAGTTTGGTATTAAATAATGGCTAAACGTAAAGGAAATTTTCTTTGTTTCATTCTTTTTGTAATTGTTTATTTCAATTTATTTCAGTTTTTAATGTGCATGTAAAGGCAGTGTAATGAATATAAACGTTTCGGGTGATGAAAATTAATTTTAATGTTATTTCTAAATGACATACATTCCATGACTACTGTTTACTTGAGTGAAATTTTGGTTTGTTATGTTCTAAATTATAATTAGCGGCTGAGCAGGTAAATTTTCTTTAACACTCATAATTCAACCCGGGTTCAAATTTCGAAGAACGGATTGACTGCATGAACCTTTCGTATTCTTTCATGTATATGAGCCAATTTCCTTCGAACGTCCTCCACGAAAGCCCCCTTCGATTAGGCAAATAATCCTTTCTTTAACCAGAGGAATGAAAATAAAATTATATTCGAAATAAGAAAAGCTATATTTATGAGCGTGTCATAACTATATTTAGAAACCCTTCCTTTTATGAATAATTTTGATGATAAAATGAATTTCAAATGTGCGATAAATGAAACACGAATTTTTATTAAAGCAGTTAGTAAAGAACATTTTATAATTCAAAATTTAAAAAAGTTTCAAACTTATTAATTTATCTGTTGTTATATGTTTGCGTCTATAAGATGATATCTGTATCAATTCTTTCAGAAAGTAGATACGTTAGTTTAGATTAATTAAACATGGGAAAACACACGAAGGCTGCCTTTCTAAGTTGAAAGGATGCCTACCTATCGAAAAGGATGCCTTCGAGGAGAACTTTTAAGGGAAACTATCTCGTATTCACGTTTCACATGGGGCAAACAACAAAAATCAACCATGCAGCCAACCCAATCGCCTGGTCTCGAACCCAAGTCGAACTACCAGTATTCAGCGGTCTTGACCACTCAGTCAAGGTAGTGTTCAAAAAGTAATTAATTTTTAGGTGAGAATTGTATTTTGGAGGGAATTAAATGATATATTAGGATACTAAGGATTTATAGAGTAATTGAGATGTGTACTATTTTTTAGTTCCCTGAATTTAATCCTCAGTACGATTCTCTATTAATATTCATCAGCTCAGTTCAAATCTTCATTCCGAGCTTCATTATTCTGAAAGAAAGCAACAATAAAAAGCTTGAGATCTGTAAATTTCGCATAACAAGCTGATACCTCAAAAGCGATTTTAGCATTCTGAAAATGCAGATCATAAAACACTGAAGAAATATTTCTCCATTCGACAAAAATCTTTATTTTTTTAAATTTTAATGGGTTCCTGAATATGCAATTTTGCTTTTAAGGAAAAAATGCAGCAACAATATAAATTGACGAACAACTATTTCCCTTCTATTCTAAGGTAAAAGCTATATATAATATCTCTAAGTGGTAAACCTAAATTTTTGTTATTGAATACATTGAAACTCAACAAGTTTCAATGTTTCAATAAGTATTCAATAATAATTCAATATTATTTTCTCAACCTCCAGCGTTTACTCCTGCATTTCTTTACCGAACCAAAAAGTGTGAAGCGGTTAATAAAATTAAAGATCTTATATCCCTGATATGAAGGCAGATCAAGCCTGGAACGCTATTTGCAATGTCACATAGAAGAAAAATTTATTTAAAAAAATTCTTACCTTGTGCATTGCTAAATTTTTGTTAGTGTTGTTCAATAATGATTCAATGCAGCACAAATGCAGTTACCAATTTCTTTTTCTCCAGAAATGAATTTTACAGAAGTGTAAATCCAATAACACTAATTTGGGAACTCGAAAATGCTTTCTAAATGACACTTGTAATAATTAAACTGTATTTAACTTGCTCTTCAATATCAGGATAATTATAATAATTAAAATGAAAATCTATATATTGTTTGAAAGATATGTTTGAATATTTTAAATCACTAAATTCTCTATACTGTGACAAGTCAACATAGGTAACTCTGATTACTTCGCTGATTTTTCAGTATATAACCTATGTGCAATTTTAAAAAGTTATTTTAACCAAAAAAGGAACAAAATTGTATAGTTGTAGCATAAAACATTTCATCTGAAAATAAAGCAATAAATTATGTTTCGTGGGAAACTGCATACATCTATCTGCAATGTGACAGCGATTAGAATACTTCCTTCATTCTATCGCCTAGAGCTTTGGAACTGGACCGAAAAGAAATGCTGACCATTTCTCTGCCTGCCAACAAAAGAGCACTTATCACCTCGTCGTTAAGACTTGATCTGAAAAATTTTACCCCCTTTCCCTAATTCCTAAAATATCCTAAAAATTTTACCCTTTTATCCCCAGTGAAGGAACACAACTATTTTTCGAGCCCACATGAAAAGGTTAATATCCTTCCTTTCCAGAAACTCATCCCTATATTGTACAAGTGTTATAGATGTACAAGTTCTATGGAAGAACCATAAAAATGAAGAGGGCCAACTGCACTCTTGAAAAGATGAACATAGGGCTGTAACATGTCTTCCTACCTCGCACAGTCACCGAGCCTCTGACAAAGGCTTGACATGTGCACAGTGTAACATGCTGCCTGCCCAGACCATCAAAGCTCCAATGTACAAGTCCCTTTTTTTGGATTTTGGAAGAAGGGTAGCAGATTCGTGGTTTTCTTCAGATGAAGGTATGTCAAAAAGACGCTGTTAGGCTGAATTGGGACTCATCTGTGAAGAGAATGGTCTCCTACTGGCATTTGGCTTTAAACAGGGTTCGTACGATCCTTAAGAGTCCTTAAATATTTTGGAATTCATTTTTTTATCCTTAAAAGTCCTTAATTTTGGCGAAAATCAACAGAAGGTCCTTAATTTTAATCATCTGAAATTTCTGTCTGTTTTTACGACTGTCATTTTGAATGTGAATTAACATTTTGAGGAATATTTTTGGTGATTCACTGCCATATATATGGTAATCTTTTGAATGGGTTCATGAGTTATAATCTATTTCTATTTCTAATATAAATGATGGGATACTCAAGTTTCTAAGCAAGAAGTGAAACATAAGCATTTCGAAATTCATTTTTTTCTAATAAACAGCTCTTAAACAAGATGAGAATTCTCTAATTAAACGGTTCTAAATTTGGCGACTTGTCAACATTTTGGCGATTTAAGATCAGTTTCTATAGAACTTTTTTAATTTCGAGATCCGAAATTTTTTTGATAATTTTTTTAAAGCATCATAACATTAATAAATTTTATTAAAATAATTGTAACATATTGAAATTATATTTAAAAAATAACATTAAAATAAAACATTTTTATTTTTTGCTGTCATATTATAAAGTTTCATTTTGGCAACTTACAATATTTAGAATCTGAAAAATAAACAAGGTATAATGCTATGAAACATAATTTATGAAACAGCTCTTGAAAAGAAGACGCAAAAGCAAAATTAGCTATGTAATTAATTAAAAATGTCTTCTTTTTAATTTTTTCATAGTAAGCGTTTAATTGTCTCAGAATATTCAAAATTCTCAGAAAATGCATCAGGTTTTCTCTATAAAATTAATTTTACACTTTTTCCCCCCCTTCCCCCCCCAGAAATATTTCTGGCTTTTTGCTGTTACAGAATTGGTAGGGATAATTTTTCTTTAGTATTTTAGACATTGCAGCTTAGAAAGTTTAGAAGGATTTAAAGGCAAGATTTATAGACCTACGATTCTAGAAGATTCGAGAAATATGTGATAAAATGAAAAATGTCTCCATAGTATCAACACACGTAATGGATGCATTTTACAGAAAGTTTGCAATGAATTTCTTACCTTTCGGAAAACGTCTGGAAGAATAATGAAAACATAATATTTGAATGTTTTACTTCTGATACTAGCATTTTAACATGTTTATCTTCCCTTTATTTTCTCTACTTTTCACTAGACACAAGCATGGAAAATATCAAAAGTGCTTCTAATCTCATCACATGGGCAGGCATTATAGAAACGGATTTTTTTTTATTAATAAAGAAATTGAAAATTTACAATTTAAAAGATTAATCTAATATGTCTTAATGCACCATACTCATAGCTGGCACTAGGCATTTTCCCACCTGATGCAGTCTCTGTGGATCCTAAATCCTGTTTCCAATGCTTCCGTTAAATTCTAAAAGTTTTGCCATTTCTAGATTTTGTTGTTCGGTGTGTCCTTAAATTCTAGAAGTTCTGCCACATCAGCTCTGTAAACGGCCATTACTATATATATTTCATATTTCTTCTGAATGTTATGTATTTCATATATTTTCTGAATGTTCATATTACTAAAGAAATAAAATTAGCCACTTTTTCTGTACATTCTAAATGCAATTAGTGTTTTTTAGAATAACAGAAATCCTTAATTAAATCCAAAAATTCTAAAATGAAAAGGATACGTGTTGAAGAAAGAAACTGAATACATAAAGAAATTTATTCTTCAAAGATATTTGGTGTTATTATTATGTAAATTACCTAAGTGTTTATGATTTCAGCCTTTACTATAATTTCCCATTTCTGTTTTCTCATATGATAGAGTTAATGAGCCAGATTAAATTTAAATTAAATTGTATAATCTTTGACCACTAGTTCACATTATTAGTTTGAATTTGACTGTTCTTATTTAATTATGTCACCGTGAGCTGTAATTGATTTTGTTAGCATTAGAACATGCCTTTATGTTCTACTTAAATAAGAGGCTTATTTAAACCTTTGTCTGATATTATAGTTACTTTCAGTGATAATTTGCGTGATGTCTGTCTGGGGAGTGGGTCTATTTAACTTTTACCAGATCAAGTAAACCCTCATAGGTACATTGAGGAGAGGTTGACAAGTTAGGAGATAAAGCACGCAGAAACTAGAAAAAGCATTGGTTTGCATATTGAGAAAAATCTCTAATTGTTAGAAAAGATGCTTAAAGAGAAAGAAATTGATATAAACTAGCCAAAATGTTTGGGAAGGCTTCAAATTAAAATGATGGGTAAATATTTTGTTGAGTGTTATTGTTACAAACCATAAATGTTTTGTAGCTTTTAATGTGTAATTATCCTAATATCATTTAAGAATCAATGCCATAAATCACATGTATTGTAAACTGTGAAATTCTATTAGATTGTGATTTTAATATGGCTTTTTTAACAAATATTGTTAAAAAATAAAATTTAATAGTGGCCATGTAAATCCATAATGACTAAGATTATATTCAATAAACGCGTCTTTATCTGCAATTTAACATTCAAAGTAGTGTTGCCTATTCCACTAACTGGAATAAATGCTCATTCTTTTTTTATTCCTAATGAGTTCATAACACCTACTGTACAAAAATTAGAAGTCGAAGCTGAATCAAGCACGGCTCTAAAAGGAATTCATTCATCGTAAACATCGCAAAGATAAGCAATTGCTGTATTGCCAATTGAGAAATAATGTATGAGTTTTTTATGTTTATTTGAAGGTTTGAATTGTAATCTATCATATTTGTTCTTTTCACATTGTAATTACATGTATTATAATTTGTACATTAATTTACATTGTATCATTTTGCATTGTATGAAGATTTATTACTTTTTTGAATTTTACTTATTGTATTGAAATTAATATTTCAATGCCAGGCGGGATGTTCGGTGTCTGAAAGAGTATTGCTTGGCAGAATTGTTTTACGCCAAGCAGAGTTTGGCTTTAGTGTAACCCTAAAGTTATTTCGTCTTTGCCTTATTAGTATGTATGATTTTTGACTTAATGTAAGAGCATATGGTTGCTCGCTAATCATTTATAATTAACTTCTTACCCTTAAAAATTATCTCTACATATTAAAGAGAGTTATTGCCTTTCATTAATACTCACTGTGGTCACAAGATAAAACACAAAAATGTAAAAATTCATGTTAAACTTATTCTTTGCATCTAGTGAGACTTAAAATAATACAAAACAACTTATCACCTGTGGTGCTTTAATGTCTTATTGGGACCTTAAAGTATATTAACTGGGTTACAAACCTCCGGAACTCTACACAAAGTTATGACACTAACTTGCATCAAGCAGGGCCTGACTAAATTTCAACACTTGCCAACCATGTCTGTACCAGGCCTTTGAGGTTTGTATGAATCAGCATGTCTCTCTCTGGACAATCAGCAGCGGTGACAACATTCAGTCTTTTGTTATGAATCATGCTGATTATGATCTTACTTCTCATTTTAACCTATGCCGCTTCACATAAAATCTAATACCTGCTGTTTACTAAACCTCTAGACTGATCAAGTAAATGACAAAATAAGACATAAAAAAATCAACATAAAGCTAACTAATCTTCTTTTAAATATGTTCAACTATCATAAGTGTAAAATATTTAATGCTACTTGATAAATTGCATAAAGCTTATTTTATTCTCAAACTTATTAATAATTATGTTAATTCGTGTTTAGTAATAATGCATACTATTTAGGGATCTATTTTATTTGTAGGATGATATTACAAAAGTGAAATTCAGGCATAGAATAATATTTTTATTTTTAATTGAATTTATTCAGTTCCCCATTTGCTCATAGGTCCTTAATTTTTTTCATTAATGGTTCTTAAAAGTCCTTAAAAGTACTTAATTTCTTTGTGCAGAAATGTGTACTAACCTTGTTTAAATCAAATTTCTATGCACAGTGTTTAACAGACTTAAATATTGTATGAATAAGATACTGTGTTTTCTTCCTTCTTTTTTGTTATTTTGAATATAGCATAAATGTATATTTTAAATTTTATTTTACATTAAAATCATATTGCAATTTAAACAATTATATTAATTCTGAAATGATTTGAAATGCAGTGTCACACTGAAATGCTAGTAGATAAATAGTCAACAGGTGAAATAAATTAATTTAGAAATGAATTTTTATGCTAATTTTAGTCTTGAAAGTGTATAATTTCAGTGGAATGATGTTTCATAATTAGTTTGAAAATGGATGCAATTATTTTATTTTCTAGAAAGCAAGTGAGGCTATGTCATCTTATTTAATACCAAGTGTGACTCAAAGGCATTTACTGGATACTTTTGGTGACTCACTGAGACATGTAAATAAATTATACAATGAAGCTTTTGGGTATGAAGCTCGCAAAGTACCTTCACATATTGCACATTTTGTAGATAAAAGTGTCATGTCTCGCTTAACAGAAAGGTAATGTTAAAAATTATTAGCTACAGATTTGATCTTTTCATGGACACTGATACATATGTGCATATTTAAATTTATTTTATGTATATGTATATGTCATATTAAATTTATTTTACGTACATACGTACATATATGTGTGCATGTTTTTAATTTTGGCACATCTGTAAGTTTTACTAGTTCATGTTTCTTGTAAATAGGCTTACTGATAATTACTTTGCTACATTTTTCCTTAGATAGGGTAATCAGGATTCCTTTATATCTTTGACCTCCAATTTGATACTGTTCAATACAGAATTTTTCAGGGGGGAAAAAGTCATATGGCAGTGTTGGTAATTTTTTACTCTACTTGATGTTTACATTGTTTCTGAAATCAATCTATACTGGTGGACAGTTGCTAAGGATGGATCACAAATGGCTATAGTGCACATTAAAATGTTAGTCTGTGTAAATGCCCAGTGAAATAAAATAATGCCAGAATGGTAGGACATAAGAATGAAGATAATTTTTTGTGTTATGAAATCTAGAATGCTTTGGGAAAGTGTTCAGGGGACAAAATGGTCATATTTTGCTTAATACATAAAAGTGAAAAAAATGCAGTTACCCATTGATCATAGTGCAGGCCTATACCATGATACTACATCTCTAATATTGGTCCTTTCCTGGGCGTTAAGCAATGCCACTCTCACGCCAGATCATTTGTAGTCTGTAATCCGGTAACAGACTGAACCTTCTCTCATCTCCCAGTTCTTCATCTCTCAGTCTAGTTATGATGCTCGCTATACCATTGGAAACAGACAGTATATTGTTGTCTGGACAATGGAATGCACACAACAGAATCGTGGGTGCATAGGCCTCCTTGACACAAATGTCTGGATACAGCTTGCCAGTAGCAGCAAGTAATTGATTTGCTACCTCAGTAGCTGAGCTGCGGCAGTTCTTTTTGCTGATAGCACTATGCACTTATCTTCTGCAGGTGTTGTACTGCAAATGCGACCTCCCGTGTGACATTTGCTGTACATTCTATTTGTTTGAAATGATTACCAAAGCCTTGAAACAACACTGTGGTTGATGTCGATTCAATTTTGCCAATAATATTGCCATGCATAAAATAATCCAAGTTATGCATACTGAAAATTGTTCATCAATTGACTCTTTCCTGTTAAATTTTACTTTCAGACAATGAAGGTTAATGTGCATCAAATCCTTTATCTCTTTTATCAATCAACACATCACATGACGAATAACTTCAACAATCCCAAATTTCCATATGCACAACATGTTTTGCTGTATCCTGCACTTATGCTAATTTCCACATTTTCCTGCCTTCCATTTGTGGTTGCTATTGCTGCTACTGTCAACTGTCCTTAGCAGTTGTCTACCAGTGTATATGATTGTGTAGGTCACTTTTCTAAACAAAGATGGAACTTAAAATTCCTCCAAGATGTTGAGACAAAAACTGTGCAAGTCAGACTTGCTTCATTTTCAAAAAGTGTAAAGACCTGGTATACCTTGAATGTTCTAAATATTTTCATTCGCAATTTGCCATTACTGTTCCATTGCCACTTTATGTGAACACTTTCTTTTGTGTGTGTGTGTATATTATTTTTTTCCATGTATCCATTTTTTTCTGACTTATTGCTGCCAGTATGGAATGAGTAAAATCTGACTAAACAAAAAATTAAATAAAGTGCCAAAACTATATTTAAATTTTCAATGAATTAAACATACAAATGCTAAACAGTTATTGCAGATTTGTAATTTTATTTACAATGTGTGTTCTCCATTTTTCAGGTTTAGTGCTGCTTTTGATGTCACATCTTCACACAAAATACGTAGTTCTAATGATATGCAGTTTTCATTTTCTTATTATTATTACCTTATGAGTGAAATAGAATCTGTTGAGGTTGAAGAAATATTTGATATGTTTGACACTGATAAATCTGGGTATGTTTATTATTTGATTTTCAGTTCACAAGTCATCCTGTGTGTATAAGATGTATGATTTTTAATTTAATTAAATACTTGAATTTTTTATGAATCTAGAACCTGGTCAGACAGAGAGATACGAACTGTTTTGACTAGACTATATGAGTTACCACTGGATTTTTCTCTTGTTGCTGGGTTTGAGCAAATGATATTGAATTGTTCTCTTACTAATCCACCACCTACTGTAGAATCCATTATTCTTCACAATGAACGTTATTATGATTCAAAACTAGTAAGTTTTTTTTTTTTATATTTCGGTTTGTTATCACATATGCAGATGCTTTAAGACTTATATTATAAAATATCTCTGCAACTGTTTTAAACATAGTTAATGCGTTAAAAGCCTGAATCTTTAAAGGTACATTAAAATAGTAATTAGATAGTATTTTTGTAAAATACTGCATGTTTTAAATGCCTGCTGTGAATTACAAAATAATTCATTTTATAATGATATATTTACTACTTAATGATATATATATATGATGATGCTTTAAAATAATGATAGCTGTTAATATGATTGATTCTTAAAAGACAAGAAAACACAAGACCAGGCTTGTTTATGAAATAGTATATGATAGAGCATTTGTCTTAATGTATATATATTAAATAAAAGGATAGTATCACATTCTTTTATCATGTTCAGGAAATTGAATAATCTGAATATTTAATATTTTAAAATTTTGCAAAAAGTGAACTTTTTTTTATGCTATTTAACATGCTTAGCTTAACTAAGCTTAACTAATCAACTCCCACAGGCTTGTTTCCATATTATTAAAAATATAATAAATGAATAAATAAACAAATAAAATATTTCTAGTATCTCAAGCAGATAGCTAAGAAAATTTTCTATTGTAATTATAAGAACCAAAGTGCTGATGTTCTTTGAATAGGTTTTCATAAATGCTAGAGGGAGTTAAAAAATAAGTTTCCCTAGCAGTACTTTTATTCAAGACAAATAATAGACTAAAGGGGAACTTAAAGAAGTAGGCTTATTTTTATTTTTTATGTAATCACTATAGGCATTGATAACATGTTCCGTAATGTTTAGCAAGGTTTAAAAAAACCTTGTTAAAAAAATGTGTCTTGCATGAAGACCTGCTTCATGGCTGCTTGAATAATTTCCTCCACAATCTGGTGTTCTCCTCTGCAGTGGCTGTTGACATCAATCTGGTCTTGCTATGTCCAATACATGGTCATGTCTCATACTGTGCTGCAGGCATAATTTGCTTTGATATGATACATGGACATACACTTCTGTAAACTAGTTATAGATTTCAGCACTCAAGGTTCCACAGGCTCATCCATGCAGCATAACAGCTCTTATCCTTTGTCCACAATTCCAAAACACTTGTCTTCTGCTTACATGTCAGGCACAGAATGTCCCACTCATCCAGTCTTTTTACTAGCATTGCACTAGTGCCATCAGTGCAATCCAGTTTATACATCACCAACTGATGAAAGGAATGGCTCTAGCATAAAAAAAAAATTTCTTGTTTGCTTTATTGCTGTACGATTAAAAATAATTAATTAATTAATTGAAAAAAAGTAGAAGGCAGATTTATTTTTCAACTTCTTTGTACATTATATTTGTTGTGAAATTGATAGCATATAAATGAATAATATGTATATCAATATGTATAAAGTAAAAAAACTGCAAGTTTAATTTTTATCCTTCCTGCTTAGCAGACCTAAGGCAAAGAACAAAATGAGTGGGGATCTTATTAAAAGGGAGACTGCAAATTACAACAATGCAAGAAATTGACAGATCAAGTAAAAATGTTACTCTTCTTTCAGGAAACAGACCAAAATTTTGCATGATCAACTGCTTTTCCAAATTTATTTATAGAAGAATTTTAAAAAGTTTAAATCGTGTTTCAGAGCTTTTTTAAGGCCAAATCAGAATTTAAATTAAAATTTAAAACTAAAATTCACTCATGTTAGAAGTATCCTGTTTATGCTTCTATGACAATAGCAACCACCTTGTTTTCTGTTAAAAGGAAAACTAGCAAAATTGACTTTTTCAAACTAAAAACATGATGTGTCAAACTTATTGTTGTATGATTAGTATTCAAAACAAAGATTGCAGTGGGAAGTAGGATTTGGATAACTATTGTGGCTTTTGATCTGAATCATATATGTATAAAATGTTAGCAAAAGTTAGCATAAGCTGTGTTATGCTGCAGATACTTGAATTCTGTTTTTCGACTATGAATTTTCCTTTAATCCTCTTCATTTGATATATATATATATATAGTCAAAGCAAAGCTTGAAAAAATGCCAGTCTCAGGTTTGATTGGTTAAATGACTTCTAAACAATTAAATAGGATATTTAAATCTATCTGCAATTTCTTTCCACTAAATTTAAAAATTTTGTAAGAAACGGAAAGAGAAATATTTTGTTTCTTTCCATGCTGTTTTTACTTTATTTTAAAACATTTTTGTTAATTAGATTTATATGTATTCTTAGCAAAGCAGTCTTTTTTAGGTGATGAGATTTCATAAGCATTAATTGTCTTTGCTTTTTCTTTTAATGCTGTTATTTTCCCTTGATCATAATGTTTGGTACTTCTGTATTATATCAACTGTGAGAACTATAAAATGGCATGCTTCAGCCTTGGCCAAAAACAAAGAGTTACCAATACACACAAGCAATTCATTCATTGTCTACAGCACACAGTTTGGTATTGACAATTCAAACTCCTTCTCTAAAAAGCGGTCAATTCATTGGTAATTAATTTTTCACCAAACTAATACATGAAAAGCAACAGCCATTTTGAAAATGATGATTTATCAAGAGTTCCATGAAATGGCAATCAACCCATAAAAATAAAATGACAAGAAACAACCATAATGAAACATTTACCTTTTTCAAGATATCCTTATTTAAATATTTTAGTTTTATTTCCTCTCCATGTACATATAGCTTGTTTTTGCCTAAAAAATATCAGAAAATTACACAAATTTGGCATTGTATGTGTTATTGCTGTGCCCACATACACAGCGATCTGTTTTTGCTTTGAAATCATTTAAGAAGTACAATTTCAATGGAAGGCATATTTTTTACATTCTCTGTTGTTAAGCAAAATATTATTTTCTGAAAAAGTGCAACACTTTCTTTTTCACCGGCTGGCAAATTGTACAGTCCTGATATGTTTCTTTACAAGGAGAAAAAAGTGTACTCAATGTAAACTCTAATATTAATAAAAAAATGACTGCCGAATTTGAAGGTAAAAAACTGTATGCATCTGCTGCATGCATGCACATACCTGAGATGTCACATAAATACAGCTTGATAACATCATGTTTATTGCTTATTTTGGCATAATAGTGCAATACTTCATGTATACTTTCTGGTGGTTGTGCATAATCAGAAAAAATCCCGTATTTATTTGATATGCACATACAAAAGCAATAGAATATAAATTTGTATTTATTCTTTAATTTAATACTATTTTGTTAGCTGTTTTTTTTAAATGAACAATGTATTGAAACATACTCATAATTCATCTTAAAGAGACACATTCTGATGGCCAAAATTGTGCAGTTGCTCCTAGTAATGCATTAAATACATTATCATGCCTGATGTGAAGCATGAACATAAACTCAGCTAGGTAGGACTTCAGATGATGGTGAGCCATTCTTCTGAGTATGTTGTTCAATTTTTTCAATGATTTCCATAAAATGGAAGATTGAAAACAGTAAGTATATTAAATATTTAGCAGTGAGAAATAAAGAAAATTTTCATTAGCTGAAGAAACAAATAATGTGCACATGTGAAATGTAAACTATATGTCATGTCTGCAGATTGATAACCATAGACATTGAATGAACTGCTTGTCTGTATGACTAACAGCCTGTTTCTTTCGAAGGCTGAAATGCACTAATTCCTATTATTTGCCAAGGTTGCTATGGCATGGAAGTACCTGATTTTTATTTGAAAAACTTCTGTGATAAACTATTAATACTTAAAGAATTTAGTATTACTTGTTTAAGCAACCATGACATGAATCTTCGATGATATTTAAAACCTAATGTTACATTTTGAATGATTAAGTTTGCCAATTTTGCAATCAAGCACAGAGGCCACTTTAATAAAAAAAAGTACTAAAAATTCTAGGTGTATCCTTTATTATGTGTACTTATAAAAGGATATATGCATCACTATATATTCTTCTAAATGGGGAAATAGGTATATTTTATAGTAGCCTTTAACATACACAAAAAGGTTATATGTACATATGAGGGTGGGGCCCAAAAATAACTAGAATCAACCTGTTGTGTGTGCATGCATTGTAGTTACGAGCTGTTAGGTGGTGTTCATTGGATTGTTAGTGAGCTCGTGTCAGTCTGAGTTAAGTGGCTTGTTTTTAGTGTTCTGTTGTGCACGTCCCTGTTTCAACCCTTTGGCAATTAGTTAAACGGCCAACTACAAGGATCAGAGTGTATGTGAAAGTTTGCTTTCTGTTAGGGAAACTGCAGCCAAGACTGTTGGGATGCTTCGGCAAGCCTTTTTTGATGATGCTTTTGGGAAAATCACAGGTTTATGAGTGGCTTTCCTATTTCAAATTCGGCAACATGTCATCTGAAGACATGGCACACCCCTGGCATCCTTCAACAAGAAGAAATTATGAAAACATTGCCAAAATCAAATGTGCAGTTGATGAAGATTTTTTTTCCCAGTGGCAGATTGTGAACAATTACAAATGTAACCCAGTCCATTAATCTATACAAGGCCAGATGTGGTGGTCTCTTTATTTATGGAGGCACCTAATAGGTGGGCCACCTTCGCCTTTCCTATGAAGGGACGGACAGTTACAATCATGCTTTCTTCAGAATTCGAACCCCAGGCCCTTCAGCATCGCAGTCAGCTTCCCTGACCACTATACCGACTGGGTGGCCATTGAAGAAGATCGTCGAAAGACCATTGACTAACAAGCAACCAGGTGGAACAAAAAGGTCCAGGTGGAACAAAAAGTTTGTTCCACCTGGACAAACAGTGAACCAACATTTTTACCTGAATGTGCTACAAAGATTACGAGAGAGTGTGCAAAGAAAATAGCTCGAAATGTGGAGAAATGGAAACTGGTTGCTTCACCATGACAGTGCTCCAGCCAATGCAGCTTTGACGGTCCAATAATGTTTGACAAACAAAAACATGGTGTTTGTGCCTCATCCATCCTGCTCACCCAATCTAGTTCCGTCGGACTTTTTTTGTGTGTCTGCAGATGAAGAGAAGTCTGAAAGGAAAGTGATTCAGCAACGTGGATGAAGTCAAAGAAATTGGCTTTGAACAATTTGGCCTGTCTCAAGAGTTTTTACCCTGTCTCAAGAGTTCCAGCACTGTTTTCAACAGTTGGGACAAGTGCATTAATTCACATGGACAATTCTTTGAAGGGAACTAATGTAGAGTTGAATAAAGATGCAAAATAAATAAATTCCGGTTATTTTTGGGTCCTCCCTTTGTAAATATATATATATCTATATATATATAGAGAGAGAGAGAGAGAGAGAGAGAGTTATTATATTTAATGTTTAGTTAATATATAAAAATTACATTAAGTACTTTGTGTAGAGGTGTTATTATTATTACTTTTGTTGTTATTATCCTTGTAGTTAAAAACAATTTGGCACTGAAATACCAGATTTCAATAAAGTCAGACTTGTATTTTCTAATATTTATCTGAGATCAGAAACATTCTGGCATTACTTTTCTGTTCTATCTCAATTTTCTCAATTTGTTCTCCCTCCTTTTCAAATTAATGTGCTGTAATATTTTTTACGATTTTTTTTATTTAAGGAAATGTATTTTATTTCAGCCTCTTGTCACTAAATCCTTAATTAGCTCCTGTCCGCCTGTTGTTTTAATGTTGCGTGAACACTTTGGTCACAGAAAGCAAAATGCGTATGAAACTCTAGGTGAAGAAGAAGTGGCCTTTAAAATGATTCATAATAATCTATCTCAGGTTCTTGGTCAGATAGATGATCTGAGAAAACATCCCAAGTATGTATTATCTTGATACCAAGTTAAGAAAAATATTTTATGTGTTATAAAATACAGCTTTTTATTTAAAAAAAAAAAAAAAAAAGGTTTACTGATTTTAAGCATGATCTCTTATCATTCATATTGTAATTTGGCTACAGGCTTTGTTAGGTTTTTGTATCTTTAATTAAGTTACAAATTTCAATCATTAAAATGATACAAATATTAGGTTATGAAAACAAGTTTTTCAAAGTGAAATATTTACTTTCAAACTTCTAAAAGTTAATTAATATATTTCATTATTTTTCTATAGTTTACTGATTTCACTTCTTGAAAATCAAGAGATGAAAAATATGTAATGTATATCAATTTTTTTAAGAAAAAGGTTAAAAAACTTAGCAGATTATGAATAAAAATAGAATTATTGACATAATAGTTTATGCCAAAAAGTCAGTTTCAGAAATTGGTTTAAATACCATTTTTTCTACCTTTGCTATTTATCCATACTTATATATTGCTATCATAAATTAGAAGCTTTTCAATCGCATGCTGAAAAGGCTTGGGAGGGTATATGAAAAAGGAAAAAATATATGAGTAAATATGGTATTTCATATTTTATTTTTGCCAGAATGAAGTGTTCGAAATGCATTATTTACATTTTTATGTATTTTTATTAAATAAAATGTGGTGTTTCCAATTTTCATTCTTTATGTAATTATTAATTATTTAAAATTAAATAATTACAAATTAATAAATATAATTATATAGCACAATTTTAAAAAAACTTAGAAACTTTTGCAATAACCAAAAATTGTTTCATGACCCATGAGAACTTAAAACCACCAACTTAAAAAATGAATGCTGTGTTTATAGTTTAGTAATTCTGTAAGTTATTTGGAAACCTGTTGAAATTTCAGTGTTAATATGTAAGGAAAACAAAGAGTAATAGGTATTAGTTGATGTTCAGGCTTCACAATCATTTGAGATATGGAATATTATTATAAAGATTATTCTATTGATATTCCATGTGCCATTCTTTCAACACTTTATCAACAGAAGCTGTTTTATCATTACCTAGTTATCTGTTGAAGAGCTTCATGCTAATGATTTTCCCCTATATTCCATATCATTTAGAAATTGAAATTCTCACATTCAAGCTATTTTAATCTTTCCTTTACCAAAATGTTTTGAAATGAAGATTTGCACCAAATGAAGCCATGAGAAGATTATATGGAGAATCATTTTGAAATGTATTTTTAATTTGAGGTCAAATATTTGATTAATAGATATGAAATAGTACTTAAGTTAAAAATAATAAAATAAAATAGGATGCTAGCTTTATATGAATTGGAGGCTAATCTTATAAACCATATCAGGTTGAGAAATTAATAATTTTTAATTAAACTTTAAAAAAATACAGGATTACTTTTACACTAGCTTTATTTGAGGAAATCAAAATGTGATGGGTCTTTAGTGCTGAAATAATAAGAATCTTCATTTAAACATTTACTAATAATTTTTGTATATGCATTTTCGTGAATGCAAATTTGACACCTGAATCAGCCGTTGATGTTAATATGCAGGTTTCAGTTTGTTTTTTTATGGTTGTTTTAGGTAGTTGATAGGAGCTAAAAATTTAGAGTTGAAATTAAACTTTGAGGTATGAAATGATTTATTTCCATTTGAGTTTCATAACTGTTGCTCAAGTTAAATGTTTTCTTCTGTTAGTAAGACTCATGAACAATTAAAATTTTCAGGAACTTTGAAAGTATTTGAGAACTTTGAAAGTATACTTTTTTATTTTTATTGTTCTGTTAAATATATCTAAATTAATTTGTTGGTAAGATGAAATAATACTTTAATCCTAATCTATTATGAGAGGATTGATTAATTTTTATAATATAACATTTTCTGTCTAATATATATAAATTAATTTGTTGGTAGGAAAAAATAATACTGTAGTCCTAATTTCTTATGAGAGAATTGATTATTTTTTTATAGTATAACATGCTTGCTATAAGAGGGGTGCCTTTATATGGGAAACAAAACTCATGTATGCAGAATTTAAATTTTTAGATAAGTTTTGTAAAAATTTTAATTAACAGTTTCTGCATTAACTAGTGATAGAAACAAAGGCAACTAATTTAGCTGAGAAAAATTTTAAGGGACCTGAATAAAATATTCTGTATCTTTATATTAAAAAGTGACACGTGTCCAGACTTGTGAAAGTATAAAAGCATGCTTTATTTGATACTATTTAACAAATATTTAGTCAAGCAATCTTTTTTAACCCTTCAGTTGGCACTATTATCTGTGAGAAATTTATTGTACATGTAATGAAGAAAATTATCTGCCTGATAATTGTGCTGATAAAATGGTTAAGTACTCTGTATTGCTGTTAAAAGAGAACCAGTTTATTATTATTATTATTATTACCATTATTATTGGCATTGCTGTTTGATTATAATGAAGAGTTCATGCTTAAAGTATAAGCATTTAATATATTCTGTGAATAAAAATCAAAAGATGCAGGAGCAGAATAAAAGTGCAGGAGCCAGACCTTAGATGAAATGTATAAAACTTAAATTTCTATAGTGATAAATATAAGGATTTAATTTACTATTCTCTATAAGATATAATTCTCTTTTTTCAGGAAATTTGTTTGTTTAAATGATAATATGAATCATGGGACACAAGAAGCAGAAGTTGTAAGTATTTAACTTTTTATCAAATGTAGATTCTTTGTGAGAGGGATAGATCAACATGCTATATTGGTTGTTTTATCTTGAAAAACGTTATTGTAGCAAGTTAAAAATGCACACACTAGAATGAATAGGCTTAGATTAGTTATGCAACACATACTAGGGCTATTTCCATGTGGGAAGAGATATCTTTATGCAGGACTTTCTGAGGAAAATAGGCTTCTGCAGGAACCATAGAAACCTCTGCCAACCAGGCCTTTTTCTATAATGTTACCTTGTATAAATAAAACATCATATTAATTTAAAGCAAAATATATACCTTTATTTAATTATTGTTTGTAAAAATAACTTTTATGACACTCTTCAAAAATCAGTACCCTAATCAGCTACCTATGTAGTACATGGTTTTAATAATAAGCTACCTATGTACAGGATATTAATAACGAGAATCTTCATTTAAGCATTTACTAATAATTTTTGTATATGTATTTTTGTTAATGCAAATTTGATATCTGAATCAGTCGTTGATGCTAATATGCAGATTCCAGTTGGTTTTTCTTACGATTCTTAATTTGGGTTGTGGGCAGGAACCTAAAAGTTAAGAGTTGAAATTAAACTTTGAGGGATGAAATGATTTATTTCTATCTGAGTTACATGATTGTTGCTCAAGTTAAATGTTTTCTTCTGATGCTAGGATTAATTTCAAGAATAACTTATCAAAATTAAATTTTTCAGGGTCTTTAAACTTATATGTTTATTAGTCCATCAAATGTATCTAAATTAATTTGTTGGTAGGATAAAATAATGCTGTAATCCTCATTTATGAGAGGATTGATAAATTTTTACAGTAAAACTATGAGTTGAATGCTGCCTGCTTTAAGAGGTATGCTTTTATGGGGGAAGCAAAACTCATGAACAATGGTTTTTGTTCAATGATCATTTTTTGTTGACAGTTCCATCTGAATATTAACTTATTCTTCTGTTTCAGTTGAAAGTTTTCTATAAATTTATTTAGCTGTTTTATTTGTTCAATATGAAGGAAAATTAGGTAGTAGCAATAATAAATCAGAACTGTACTAGGAAGGAATCATCCCAGTAAAATTAAAATCAATGTATATAGTGTTTATGACTTAGAAAGGGGATTATAATGCTAGAACAGTAGGGTCATTTATTCATATACACTGCTGGCCACCCAAATTGCAACACCATGAAAGACAAGAGATATCACAACAAAATTTATTTAGTAGATAACATGTTGAACAAGTATCAATTGATTAAATTTATAGACTTCTGTGAAGTGTGGTTCCTTCCAGAATCAGTAGGCAGAGTAGCCACCATTGTTGGAGATCACCACTGCCACACGCCTCGGCATTGATTCAAAGAGACTTTGGATGTGTTCTTGGGGTACAGCAGACCAAGCAGCTTCCATACATTGCCGAAGTTGATCTGGTGTGGCAGCTTGGGATGTAATCTGAGTCAATCGTTCAGCAACCATGGACCATATGTTTTCTATTGGTGAAAGGTCCGAAGAGCGAGTTGGCCAGGGAAGCAATTCAATCTGGCGATTGGCGAAAAATCCTTGGATATTGCGTGCCATGTGTAATCGCTCATTATCCTGTTGAAATACGGCTGTGGCCCTGAAGGTAAAGAAGGACAACTGGCTCCAACACCTCGGAGATGCAGCACTGGCTGTTTAAAGTACCGGCAATGTGTACTAGAGGAGTGTGTGAGTGATATCCAATACCACCCCATACCATAATACCCGGTGCAGGACCAGTGTGGTGGTGCATAATGCAGCTGTTCAGCATCCTTTCTCCACGGTGTCTCCAGACTCGAATCCGACCATCATAATGTTGCAGACAGAAGAATGACTCGTCAGTAAAGACAATTTCATTCCATTTTGCCCTCCACATTCTTCTTTCATCGCACCATTGGCGGCGGAGACGTCTGTGGTTCTGCATCAAGGGTAGAAGAAGCAATGGATGTCTTGCGGACAGACCACTCTGCTGGAAACGCGTTGAATGTTACGTGCAAGACACTGGATGATGCATTACAGACTGTGCTATGGTTCGTGATGTGACTGAGTGATCCATCACTGCCATGCGCACAATATTCTTGTCATCACGTGAAGTGGTGGACTGAGGTGGATGCGATCAAACACGTTGGTCCGTCGTACCCTCCTGCATCCAACGGTCACATATCCACATTACAGTTCTTTGGTTTCGTCCAACACGACTACCGATTTCCCTGAAAGATAATCCACACTCTTGGTAGGCCACAATCCTTTCTTTGTCGAACTTGGATACTTGATCAAACAATGATCACTGTTTACTACAAGGCATAATTGATCGTTTTTTTGAAAAAAACCGCAAGAAAAACACAATTGCCGAACTTGAAATCATCGAAAACTCCAAGCCTTAAATAGCGCTTTGAAGTGGCGCCATAGGCGCACATGATGTGCATCTGAGTTAAAATTCTAATCATCTGTATATCTCACCTCCACTAATGCATGTTGTAAAATTCATGTTATTTGCATGCTTCCTTCAGGGTGTTGCATTTACAGTGGCCAGCAGTGTAAAACAATTGTGAAAGTTGAAAAAAAAAAAAAAAAATCTGTGAATCAGATGCAGGTAGTTCCCATCACAGAATAACTGCATAAATAGCACCCATAGGCATAGAGTATCTAATATGGTCCATTTAGCTAACTATTTCATCAAAATCCTGCAATGAGCTGAGGTAGCATCCTGTCATTTTCAGACATGATAGAATTCATCTCTTTTGTCAGAGCCATGCAGTACTTAATGGGGCAACATTTTTGTTGTAAAATAGCTTAGAAAATAATTAATTTTATTAAGAATTGTTTCTTCCACAAATTGTTTCTGGGGATAACAAGATTTCCCTGGATTCTGTGTTATGTTCATTTGATTGAATGTCTCTACAAGTGGAGTTAACATCAATGGATTGTATGTTCAGTCCTATTTGATATCTTGTAATGTATTGTTTAGCGTGATTTCATCCCAATGAATCCATCCTTTTTCAGCATATCACATAACATGCAGATCTGATGTCAAAATTTTCCTTCTTTTTAAACTTTGCTCTTAATGTATCCTCATCATTGCATGCTGTGTGTCATACACTGTTCATAGGCCCTATTTAGCATAATTTCTGTTTACATATTTGATCAGGGACTATTTGCGTGCATATATCAAACAATATTCTTGGTGTATATATGTTTTTTCCTTCTTTGTTTGAAGAGTATATAATTGAAAAAAAAAAATATATGGCATAATTAAATATAATAATAATATATGGCTATATAAATTAAATTATATATGTAATGTACAGAATTTTATCCTATATTTCATGTATAATATTTACACATGAAATATAGTGATTAATGTTTAAAAATTAAAATGAAATATAGTGATTAATGTTTAAAAAAGGAAGTTTGTATTCTCTTTGTTTTTTAAATATTTTATGTACTATTATAGCATTTTATATATCTATGAAACTTACTAAGCACTAAGATATACCTTTTAATATAGGCATAAGAAATTATTCTAGTTTGCTATTTATACTTTAGCTTGGAATTATTATTTCACCATTAGAATTTTAATTAATATATGTTTTTACTACTTACTTATTAATTTACCTAGGTAGGCAATTAAGTATTTATTAAATGGACATGGCATAACTATTTAAAAATAATAATATTATATATGTATCCTCAGATTCGAGCTGTGATACAAGATTTTTATGAATCTCTATTTCCAACAAGATCTCAATTTGAATTGCCACCTGAATATCGTAATCGCTTCTTATATGTTAGTGAATTAAAAGAATGGAGAAAGACTCGAGATTTGATACGTATTGTGACCTATTTGATGCTTGCTTTTCTAATAATTTTTTCTGTTTTCTCTTTCTGGAAATCTGAGGTAACTATCATTCGTCATTTATGGTATGCATGCTATCATTATTTTCATACATTATTGGAATTAATTATTCCATATAACAGGACAAGTATTAAGCATACATGACATTTTAATATTTCCTTATTTTGTCCATCTGTTACAGATATTTTAATATAAATTAGCATGCAGATATCTAAATGTTTTATTATTATTTTGCATAATGTCTTGTATATAGCAAAAATAATCTACAAATGTAAATATAACTAAACAGTGATTTTCCATAAAAGCTTGTGTAATTTTTGCATGTTTATTGTAACCTATGAATGGAAAAATGAAATTGGGAAGTTTTTGTCCTTAAATATTTTTAATAGCTAATTTAGTTTAGTTAATATGAAAAAACTCGTAAATAGTATTTTTATATTCTGACTTAAAAATTTTTATAAAATGATATATGTTTCTATTTTTAATAGATGAGACCAGTTGAACGATATGCAAGATTAAGGAATATCCAAAATCAAACTAGAAATCCTTTGCATGTTTAATTTTTTTAATTCATAATGTGGTAATTTAAAATTAATTTGTATTACTCTGAAAGATTTAGAAACAAAATTAGTGAAAGGAAAATAGATTAAAGTTTACATCTTATCACAATGATACATATTTTAAAATGTGAATTCATTCAATCAAAATCTTTTACTTTAAAGTCTGCATTATTTTTTATGTGTTTAATCAAGTTATACACTGTGGTGTGTGAGTATGAAATAATTTTAATATAGCTTATTGAAAAGGAAAATAAGTTTAATTTTATATCCTATCATAACAATTATTTTGTCTTTTAAAGATTTATAATTGATTCAGTCATTTTTTTTTTTTTTTGTTTTTTTTTTTTTTTTTTTTTTTTTTCATTTTAACTTGCATTTATTATGCATTTAGCAAATTATAAGTTATTATGCATAATTACATTCATGCACTAATGAAATGGTCTTAATTATAAGAATTAATTTCAGAAAGAAAGAATTTCAGTATTATTTATGATATTAAATATTTTAAAATATTTTCTTTTATAATTTCAGTTCCTATGTATAGCTTGACAAATAGGCCAAAGCTAGTGCCATTAATCAAATAAAACTGCCTTTTTTTAAAAAATTAATTAAAACGTTATTTTTAAAACATAATAAAATACATATTTTTATTTCTGTCCAAGTATTTTTACACTGTACTTTATTCTAAAATATCTAGATATTATATTCTTTTAATAAAAGCTTTCAATATTTAAATTATCAGAATCTTACAAAATCATATGTCAAATTTAATTTCAGAATAATTGATTCCCCCTTCTTATGCCAGCAACTTTCCAAGTAAACAGTAGCTTCTTGTTATAAAAAACCAACTGTAGCAACTGAGTATGCCCCACAATTAATTAGTTTATACCATCAGATAGAGAAACATACCAATGAGTTTATGCCATTGGTTTATTTTCTAAAGAAACTTTGAAAATACTTCAGGAGATTGTTAAAATGCAACAGTCTTTTAATTATCAAATAATAACAACAATTTTTATTTTTGAGAAATAATATGTTAAATCTCAAACAAGATCTTAATGTAGTTTTGGATATGGAGTTCTGCAGTTTTTAATTGTGAATCAGTGCTGGCAAGATAATGAAAATGAATTGTTAAAATTGACATCATTGAATGAAAAAGTAATTTTTGAGTAAATTTTTAAAATTATTCATGAATATTTTAGATACTCAGTGTCAACCATGCTATAAAATAGAATCTCATTTACCAAGTTTATAAATTTAAGTTTTAATGTTCATTTTGATCCTTTGATATAGATGTCATAATTTCATATTTGTTATACAAACAATTATAGAATGTACATTACTTTAATGCTTAACCTTTTCGCGACGGCGCACCTTTGTTTAAAACGCTCGTGCGGGACGGAAGAGAATCGAAGGCAGTCACCGTACTGGACGGAGGTTTTGCATCAATAAGCCTAATTTTATAACAAAATCAGAAAACAAAAGTTTCGCTTCTAGCGTAATTTTTAGTATCATTTTAGATTATACTTGAGCTCTATATATGTTAATTAATTAGCCCTAAAATTTTTTTATTTACTGGAAATATACTTAAAAAATTGCTTATCTTCCATAATACTTTTCGGAAGAGCTATTCAAATTATCTAAAGTTTTAATTGATAAAAATCCATCAAAAAAGTTTAAAATTATTAAAAAGAACACAATAAAGACTATTTACGAAAGTAAAAATTTAAAATGAAACGAGCGTGGTAATTTCGAAGCACAGAGAAGTATCACCTGTAACTCTTAGAAAAAGTATCACTTTTTAACTCCTTAGAAATGAATCAGTACTCTCATTTGCGTAGTAAATGGTTCACTAACCATACTAGGGTATTCTTCCTCTGATAAATAGCGCCTCCTTACCTCATATAGACTGGACGTGAGGCTTCTAAATAAAAAAAGAAGGACGGAAAAATATATCTGAAGGCAATGCAAACGTAAAAAAACTCCGCACACTAACCCTAAAAGACCGTTCAAAGTAGCGAAACAAAAAGAAAAAAAGGAATTGGATATAAATCAGATACGAGAATGTTTCATTAGCACGCAGCGATTAAAGAGCCGAGCTGCGTTTGTTTACATTACGATTCCCCCTCCCCAGCCACAGCTGACAAGCAAAATACCAAAAACAGCCAGAGTATAAACAATTGAAGGTCAGAATACTAAAACTACGTTCAGTTTAAATGTAATGGACACAGAGTGCCATCTAGTGGCTATTAAAAAAATTGTTTCAGCTTAAAATGCATATCTGCACTGCCCGTTCACTTGGCCAGTTCTCCAGGAGTGCACGGGTGAACCGCCCGGGCCTCACATGCGTCCGTACGAAATGCATATATGATTCGCCCGTCGCGAAGAGGTTAATATTACATTAGGCATATCAGGGTCGGTACTAGGTATTTTTTGCCACTTGGTCTCCAATCTCTGTATGTCCTAAATTCTGCTACCTCTCCAAATTAAAAAATTTCGCTACACCTAAATTCTGTTACCCAGTGACTCTCTTAAATTCTAAATATTTTGCCATCCCAAAGTTTTTCTAAGTTAAAAAAGTTCTGTTGCCCTGCTGTTACTTGCACCTGCTGCGATGCCAACCCTGATTAAGACTCATGTTTCTCAAACAATAGAATGACACAGGGGAAATTGCTTAATGTTATTAGTACAGTACAAAGTCCGTAATCCGGACATCTATTATCCGGAATGATCTATAATCTGGACTTCAAAGCTACAAATTTATGCATGTGCATAAAGCATTTACGCATGCGCTTTTAATGCGCGTGTCCGCTATGCATGCGTGTAAAGCATTTACCCATGCGCACTTCTGATAGTGAAGAAAGTGACAGAGAGGTTATTGAAAATGAAAAAATTTCAATTGACGAGTTAGTCGGTATTCTCGACACAGCACTTACAGGACTTGAACAATGGAACTTTGTAACTGAACAAGAAATTATGCCTGTTTATAGAATTAAAGAGAAAGTAATAGCAAATTAAAGAGAAAGTATTAGCACAAAAAACAAAGCAACTTAAACAACTTACATTGAAAGAAATGTTTAATAAAGTAAACAAATAAATATTAAGCTTTTTTTTTTTTTTTTTTGTAAATTTTGATACCCTTTAGATCATAATTGCTCTTTATTTCATAAATTACGGTTTCATATTTTTAATTGTATAATTTCTGCATGCCATCTTACCAGATTTAAATTGATGATCTATAATCCGGAATCGCCGAAGTCCCGAGTCCAGATTACAGACTTTGTACTGTAATTAAATTAAAAAGGAGTATGCTAAAAGTGATGTTTCATTCATTTCTTAATCTCATAGACTCCCAATTAACCAAAGGAAAATCAGGGATGACATCCATGGTTTGTTTGACAGCAGTTAAAAAATCAAAAGAATAAGTCATACTATAATTGATAGAAAAATAATGTTAACAATCAATTTACATGTGTTTTCAGGCAAGAAAGAAGAATGTTTCTGTTTATATTAATCTTGTATTTAAAAATAGCATTCTATGGGAAACGGCTGTGCACTTTTTAGATTTAGTGATTTATTTTTAGCAGATGATTTAAAAAAATGTTTACAGATTCCAGATTATGTAAACTGCGCAAAAAAAAGGGGGGCAGTTCTATATCTCCGGTTCTACTGGGCCGATTGACAAAATTCAAATTGTGTTTTTCATGTCTCGAAAGCACGACTTACGATATATATTACATTTGTATATAGCATTGTTATAACATAGGTATTTTGACACAAAATCATGCTTTTTCTGAAGTAACATAAAAATTGTTTTCCATATTTCGATTCTACGACTCAAATTATGCCTAGATATTAAATTTTGTAAAATTTGGTTCAAAATTTATGGATAAATTCAAAAATTTATCTTGGCACAATTTTTCAGTTTGCGCCAAAAATAATTCACTTGGCGAACCTGTTAATATGTGGCAACCAATTTTTCCTTTCCCTTCCATTACGTTGGAGCGGGAAAAATGTCACTTCGTTCCTATATTTTTACATTGTGCATGAGCAGAAAAAAAAGTCACTATGTTTCTACTTCCAAATAATTTCAGCAAAGTGTCTAAACCACATTTGATGTTTTATCGCTTTCAACAAATATGCCAAATTTTAAAACGCCCCAATATATATATTCATGTATCTATCTTCGGAGATTTTGAATAAACAACTGTAATTTTTTGCAGGTATGCTTAGAAATAAGTCTACTTTAAGATGTTGGTGAAAATTGTATATATTATAATTCAAAAATTTTTTTGAAAAATTTTTAAAAATTATTTAAAAATACAAATTTTAAAAATAAATCATAAAAAAATGGGTGAATTTTATTTAGAATGAACCTAAATTTCGAAATGTGAAAGGAATAATCAAATAAGTTTAATAAAAAAAGAGAGATTAATAAATATATACCAAAATCAACTAACATTGAGGAGCTAAAATTTTGAGAGCTAATTTTGTAAAAACTACTGGTGTGATTTTTTTTTCAAAACTTAGTAGTTTGGCGTAATTTGAGTCGTAGAATGGAAATATGGAAAAAGAAATTGGTATGTTACTTCAGACAAAGTCCTATTTTGTGTCAAAGTACCTATATTAGTACAATGCTATATATAAATCTAATACATATCCTAATTCGCGCTTTTCGAGACATGAAAAACGAAAGTTGAATTTCGTCAATCGGCCCAGTAGAATGGAAGATATAGAACTGTCCCATTTCTTTTTTTGTGCAGTGTACAATTACATTACATATTACGACAGGTAAAAAAATGCCTGAATATTGTGAAATAATCTGCTTTCACTGCTTTTATTGTGTACAATTTCTGTTTTTACCTAGAAATTCTGCTTTTTCTAAGGGCTAGTTTCCTGATTGTTCTGCGATAACTCTGTTAAATAAGACATAGTTGATCTACCCTCAGTTAACTGGGAGTTGACTCTATTTTCATTAATAATTCATTTACAAAATCAGTATTTAAAATATAAGAAATTTATCTTAAACTCTTATCACATTTATAAGTATTTGTCTGAAGTGAAGGAATTTGTATATGTTTAACCACAGGTCTAAAAAGGCTTTTATAGTGCATTATGTGGACAGAGCTGCCGCAAAGCGTGATCTCTAGAGGTACCCCTTTTGTTGGCCAGAATGCAGTGGGGTGAGGAAAAAGCCCTTCCCTGGTAGAAATTAGAAGGGGAAAAAAATTATGCCCTTAATTTCCCATCTTTTACTTTAAATGAACTAGAAAGGACAGAACTATATTCTTCAGGGAATGTTCTCATTCCTCCTTTTGCTTCCAAATCATTATGCAAATATGCATTTACAAATTTTAAAAATGAAAAGTGCATTTTTGTGATGTTATCATCAAGCAACGATTTGTAGGTACTTTATTTTTTCCCAAAATATTTTTGATGATGATGTTTTTACAGCTTTATTTTCAACCATGATGTTTTCTCCGACTATGATTTATACAGCAATATTTTTTGCTTCCGTTGTTTTCTTTTTGATAATTTTGCTGCAGTGTCTTTGCCTGTAACCATATATTCCCCTGCACTGTAGCAATATATGTGCACTCATACTGCTGATTTCAGTATTTTGTGCACAAAATTGAGTAGGAAATAGATAGAAATGTCACTGCACAGGATTTCTTAACATGCTATTTAATTAAAAGGACCGCATACAGCCCATCAGCTGGCTTTTGCCGGTCCCTGCAGAAGTGCCTACTTTACAAACTTGCTAATTTAAAGTTGTGAAGATAATGGTAAAACCAAAATTGATTTCTTTTCTCAGACCACTAAACATAAATTATTTTTAACATTGGCAGTATAATGTCAAACAAAAATTACAATAATGAAAAGATGAAAATGTACTTGATAAATCTCATCAACATTAAATGTACCTTGAATGTAATTTTCGTATTTAATCTCACCATCTTTTGGCATTAAAAATTTAGTTTACCTGTTTACATTATTATGAAATTTTACTCATGTTATATTCATAAACATTTTATAATGAAGTGACTAACTATAATTTTTCTTACTGAATAGTTCTGTTTCTTTTACCAAGAAGTATATTAACAATTTTTATTGAAATTTTTATCCATGTTTGAGGATTACTAGTTAATAGTTTTTGTATCCTGCTAAATGTTTTTCTTAAAAAATTTGATTTAATTCCTTATTAAATATAAAAGTGTTACCCTATGAAATGTTAATATTATTTTTTTGCATTGAAACATACTATTTAATTTTAAAAATGTGTATAATTATCATTTTTTTTAAACAGCCACATTTCAACTATATCTATGAGATTTTTATTGCTGATATAAATTACACATTTCTGAATTGTATTTCATTAATTTTATGAAAGCTGCTCCAACAATTTGTGGACTGAGAATTACTATTTAGACTTTGAATCATTAGGAGGTTTGGTGCGGATATATATTTTGAAACAGCAGACTTCACACTTCATATACTGTTTTCTGAGATGCACTAGCTCTTCAAACAAACTATAGACTGTTTAATGACAATCAGTATAAGATAGCAGATGTGACAACTTTCACTTCCTGGTTTTTGCTGAATTTCTTCCTCTCTTAACTTTTTTCATGTTATAAAAGCCCAAAGATTGCAGGGCATATGGTCTGAGCTGTATAAAGATGATCTAGACACTCCCTGTGAATTTTCTACAAAGCTTCTATAGCCTGTTGGGCTGTATATTATTCAACATTATCTTGAAAGAGAGAAACCATTTATGTAAAGCAGTTTAGTTCCTCTCTCTTACACTTTTCCACAAAATTGCTTTTCTCAGATGAAATACTTAAAGCACTAATCTCCATTTACAGTTTATTTGTTTGGAAAACTGTGTATCCATATTGTTTTACAGTTATTCAAAAATAAAATCAGTATTAATTTCTTTGAGGAATCAGATATCTGAAATTTTGGAGAGATGTGGTTATTTGCTGTTTTGATTTAGGATTATAATGTCTGCTTCAGGATTCATCAGTTATGATTATTCTGTTCAACATGTCGAGATCTTTCTCAATTCACAGAAGTATTGAACACAATAGAACTTGTGGTCTTCATTCTATGTGAAACCCATCTTGCATAAGCTTGAGACATTTTCAGATTAAAATATATTACAATATTTTGCTACATCAGCATTAAATTAAGCTCTTAAATTAATGAACATCTGTCTTCTTTCACTAATATCTCTATTTTTCGAATATTTTCATTGTCTATAGATGTTCTTGGCTCATCTTGTACATTGTGTCTTTAAAATGCCTCCACCATTTGAATATGGCCAGTTTGCTTATTCTACTAATCTCAGACATTTCCTGCCCACTTTTACATAACTTGACACAAAATTTATCAACGACCCTTTGTCTAGCTATTAATGGCATATCATCTGCCATAAAAAAGTGTGCACTGCAGTTGTTCTTTTACATTAAGCAAACAAATGATGCTCATTAGCTTTACTTCCATTTACAAAATAGGACACAGGCTGTCTTTATAAATGTGCAGTGTTACTAGTCCACAAACTTTCTGAATTGTTAATTTGTTACTCTAAATATAAAAATTTATTCTTCTATATGCCGTTGATGAATATTATTTGATCCTTGCTCCTCCATATCTATCTACTTTATATTGACTCTATTGTATGTTAACCATTTCTGATTTATACATAAATAAATAGAGGAGCTAAATTGGGGAAAATGTGTAAGTGTTACCAGAATATCTTTTATTAATAATTTAAAGAGGGTCATAGTATGTATAATGTGATATAATTAAAATGTTTCGTTATTAAATTATACATTCTTTCTGCTCTATAAAAAAGTTATGTTCTATGTTGGAGCATATTCGATTGAACCATAAAGGGGGAGAAATATTTGACAAATCATTGTCGTATTCCTCTCCAGTTAAATATTTAACTGATATTTGAAAAATATAGATATGAAAATTTTGTGTATAAATAAATTAATTGCACTTACATACATTTAAGGTTCTAAATTTTAAAATTAATTTAGTATCTACTATTATATGAAAGGCTCAGGAATGATTCTATAAAACATAAGATTTCAATTTGTTGGACTATTTTTATATCCCTTTTAAAAATAATTCTCTCCCACTGCAATGCACTTCTGCCAAAGTGATGATGAATGACTTTAGAACATGTTTCATGAAATTCTTCTGGGCCTCACAGTAGATTTCTGTTTATTGCATCAAAGTTCAGAACAGTGATTACAAAGTGCCAATTTTGAGCATGGAAATATGAAAAAAGCCACATAGTGCAGAATACGTAGTTTTCAAAGTCATATTTGTTGAATTTTAGGTCAAAAATTTGCAAACAACAAAAGCAGTGTAAGTAAGTGACTTACTGTGTTGCAGAATCCATGCAATATCTTGAAGCAGTTAAGTAATTTCCTATGAATTGCTTTACATAAATGCTGCAAAACACAGTGATAATATTCTTTATTAACAATTGCCTATGGAAGAAATTTGCAATATGCAACACCATAATAATTGGCAGGGGGCATGCTTCAACTTTTGAGCAGCATTAATTTGAACTGTTTCTCTATCAAAAGCATAATCTGCATGTCTTTACCAGTAATAATATATTTTAAGGACTCATCTTGAAAAAATATCTCCTGGGCCATTTGGCTATATTATAATTTTTGGAAAAAATTCAGCATTTTTCAACAACTCTAGAAGTGATGTGCTGCAAGCATAAGTGATTTTTAAAACTACTAAACAGGATTCAAATTATATGCAACACATTCAATAATATCCCTAATTGTTAAATGATGACTGCTAAACACTAAATCTCTGGTCTTATTAATAAGTTGCTCATTAACAGAAATACATGGTATATCAGAACATAGTTCATCTTGGGCATATTTTCTGTCTTCTTCAAACATCTTTACCACATAAAAATTTATTTTTGATTGAAGGTTAATTTCAAGAGCTTTCTGCAAAATTTCAAACATCTCTGCAGCAAAAATTCTTAATTCATTAAAAGTGAATTTATTTGCAAATTATAAAAAAGAAAGGAAATAAAAACTGTTGTCTGATGTCAAATAAAATTTAAAGAAAAACTTTGTAAGTGATTTCTTGAATGTATGTATGGGGTTGAAACATAAGTAATGGCCGTTTTTTTAATTTTAAAATTTTTATTTTAACAAAACAAAAAGCAATAAATTAGTCAATAATATCCGAGTTTTTTAACTTTCCCCATAGACCTAAGATGTTGAACTATAGTCATTTGGCTACAACCCATTCATTCGGCTAATTCTCGAGTGGTTTGACGCGTCTTCATGTAGGTCGAAATTTCCATTTTTGAATTTGACAAACTTCAGGCATTGCACCTTCTAATACATTTCACAAATTTCTCGGGTAGCTTTTGCAGGATTGGCGCCTCAATTAAACACAAAAAGAAGGTGTCGAAAATGCTTATTTTTTTCAACTTGATACTCCATTTTAATGATCTGAAAAATATCAAAAATTAGCTCAGACAAAAAAATCAAGTACGCCGTCTTGTAGAGGAAAAGATTATCTTTGGAATAACACAGAACATTATTTCATTACATTTTATTTTTACCACATAATTTTAAACACAACATAAATAGCTGTTACTTAATGTTTCAACCTAATGTGTTAAATTGGATACTTTTTGATCACAGTAGTATGTAGAATTTACAAATGAAAATGCAGTGAACTTGTGTTAATTTGTATTTTTATGAAAAATTTAATACAACTATGCATTATGGGCCTTTCCCCCCCCCCATTTTCTATGTTCTCATTAAAATACTGGATATCTGAAGTGTATTTTTTGATAATATGAAATATTCAAGAAACGAGTTTGTCTTTCAAATGATAATCTAGAAATTATTTGTGAAATCTTCTTCTAGTCAAATAAAATTATTGCCATAATGTATCTTTTGCATGTAAAAACATTTTTGTCTTATCACCAATAATTCTGTGATCATCATCTATGCAAATGAATGAGTCCATGCTCTGTTACAATGCATTTAATAAATAAGAATCTTGAATGAATATAGTTATTTATGTTATTATTACCCCTCACCAAGCTTTATACATAAGTAAGGGGGGTATGTTTTCCATCCAAAAATTTGACAGCGAGTTTTCAGTAAATAAGTACAAATTACGGTCCCTACAATTGACATTATTAACTACTTACACCAGGTATGTAAATATGAAACCAGAATTTACCCATAGATGGCAGTAGCTGTCAATTCAATTACCCTCAAACCACATTATTGGCATTATTTTATTTCTTTAACAGCTGAAAAAAATTTTTGACTCGCAACAATACAAGTTTCATAGAGCAGGGCAGTTTTTAATAGCATTGAACATTTCGAGTTTTGTACCTACAAACTACTATTTGTGAACAACTGTTTTCTGTTATCATTTAAAGAAAAAACTGCTGCAGCATTGTATTGGATGCTTGTCGAAGCTTACGGTGGGTATGCTGTTGGTAAATCACAGTGCTTTGAGTGGTTTAAGAAATTCAAAAGTGGCATTTTTGACATTAAAAATGAAAAACGTGGAAGATTGGCAAAAAAGTTTGAAGACGGTGAAATGCAAGGATTGTTGGATGAGGATGATGCTCAAACCCAACAAGAACTCACAGATCAATTAAATGTAACAAGAGAAGCCATCTACATATGTTTGACGACCATGGTAAAGATCCAAAAGGTGAAAAAATGGGCTACTTCTCACCAGGTACACACACACACACAAAAAAAAAAAAAAAAAAGGCATTTCTCCATCAAATTCTGACTGATGATGAAAAGTGGATATATTTCAAGAATCCTAAGCATGAGAGATCTATCATAGTTAACTGCAGGCGAACCATCAACAATGCAATTTGCTATAGAATTGCAATGCCAATTTGCTATAGAAAAAGGACAATGCTGTGTGTTTGGTGGGACCGATTATGAGCTACCTAAAACCTGGTGAAACTGTTAATACTGAACGTTACTGACAGATAATCAATGTTAGTCAAGTGCTGCATGTAAAACAACCAGAATATTAAGAAAGGTAGCACAAACTGATTTTGCTTCATGATAATGCATTATCACATACATCAAAACTGATCACAGAAACACCACAGATCACTTGTAGATGTGGCTTACTCACCATACTTGGCTCCGTCTGACTACTATTTATTTGCATCGACGGGACATGCACTTACTCAGCAGCACTTCACTTATGAAAATGACTCGATGACTGGTTTGCCTCAAAAGAGCAAGAGTTTTTTTGGCATGGCATTCATAAATTGGCAAATCTGCCATGATTTTATTTTATTTTCACATTCATGGCACAGCTTCAATGTGTAACTTTAAATCACTGCTGAGATTCTCAGGATAAATTTTACCATCTGAATATCTGCTTGGTGAATTAAGGACATTTCTCCTTGACAAAGTTGTTAAATTGGTTACTTTTATTCAATCCTCAAAACAGAGGCTTTTCAAATCACTGTTGGACAGATGCTGGGTGAAGGAATGGCACATTATATCCTGCTGCCATATAAAAACAAGGTGCCAATGTTCCTTCAGAATTGTTCCTGAGTTCTGTGAATTGCCCATATGTTTGTATTTCTCAAGGATAAAGTTGATTGCAGGATGTCTATTAACTACAGAAAAGGTATTATGGATGTGCAACATTGAAAATAAGATAGTACACCACAAGTTTGAAAGATATAGAATCACATTTACACTAACTACATCATGTATTACTATTTTTTGTAAGAAATTGATACCAGCCTAGAGGTTTTGCCAAAAGCTAGATATTGAAATAAAAATTTTTTATAGATTAGAAATTATCTTTGAGAAGTATACATTACCAATCAGAAAGAGATTCCATTGACCAATATATCCAATATTGGTCATGAATATAAATGAAATTCAAATAAAATTGATTGCAAATAAAACTGATAAACTGATTGCATGACTGCAGATAAACTTTTCAGGTGCCAACTGAAATTTCGAAAAAACATTTCTGCAAATTATTTATTTCACTTCTGAAAAAAGGTTTTATGCAAGTCTCCACCGAAATAAATAGAATTTTATATAAAGATTTCATAATTGTTAATATTTAAAATGGTTTCAAATATCAACACACAAAATGAAACACTATTATACTACAACATTAGAAACAATTTAAAGCTGCAGTTTTCACAAATATCCTTGTCACCTTATCGACATTTTTTTAAAATTTAGTATAAACATATAGTGTTTTAAATATTTTTGTTTCGAAAATGATAAGTGACTATTAATATAACAATATGAAAACAATATAACTTTCATTTAGATATTCAATTTATTTCACATGTATTCTAAAAAAATTTCTTTTCACCTGCATAGAAATAAAAGTAAAATCAGCGACTTTGATTTTCATTAACATTTATTTTCATCATGCAATTAAATAAAGCCTTTTACTTTTGTCTTTTATATCATAAATTAAAGCAGTGCTTACATTGATATGGAAGACAATTCAATGCAGCTTAGCCAATAAGTAAGGCAATATATTTAATTCATAAGGCTATAAAGAACAAAGCACTCACAGCTAAGCAATTATTCATACATACAATTATGAAGTCTAGTCAGAAAGTATCCAACCTTAAAAATTTGGACTTCAAACCAAAATGTGTAATACCACCATAAGCGAAAATTAAGTCAAAAGAATAAAATCTATGAGATTCTATATATGATTAACCATTTCCAACTTTTATCCCATCTGCAAAGGGGCTAAAAAAAATTATTTGCAAGATTAGATGAATGGGTTTGGACTGTGTCTTGACGGAACAGAAAAGGTCAATTTTCTACAATTATGGCATCTTTCATTACAGTATAGTCTTATTTATATAAATAATAAAATACTACCAAATGATAATATTCATGAAGCAAAGCAGAATATCACTAAAATAATTTATAGTCTGCAATTCACGATGTCAACAAAAAATATGGTACTTTCCCGTTTTGCCGGCGCAGGCGATAAAGTCGCCAATAATGGTACAACTGGTGCCAAACGGAATATCCTTGCTGGTAACCTTTTACGCCTCACTTTCAAAGCAAGTTGCCATTATTTCTTATCAGACTGATTGTCTCTTCGCGGTAATTAAGTCAATTAGGATGAAATCACACCGCTCACCCGAAGGCGAAATTATAGAAAAGGCAAATTCAAGGGTTAAATTCATCATTTCTAATGAGAATGCACTAAACAAGTAAAGCACTGCTGTTTTACATAATTTCTGAGTAAGCTATTTGTATGAATTGAAATAATTGTTGCATTTAAACTTGTATTCCAAACTAAGATTTAACTTGAAATTAATGTAAATAATTACTGAGAGAATTAGATTTTTGTAGCATAGTTTACGTGGGACGAGATCACTTGAGGTCACATGATATGAAACGGCAACTCAGGATGTTGAACCATGAAAGCATAGTAAATTCTTAAATTAATGTCTTTTTACAAATTTATTGTCTTTATTTATTGGCTTTTTACAAAATTTTAAACGCTATTAAAATGTTTATGCCTTCAAAATAAAAAATTCTTAGAACTAACATTTGTTAACATTTTTTATGTGCATACTGTATGTTGTTGCCAATAAAGTGTATTTGGCAAGATTTGCACCGGCGAAACAGAAAAGTACCAAAAATATTTATAAGGCAATACAGGTGTGCACACAGCACATCTGTTTTGACAACTGTGTAATGTGGAAGTTGTACAAAGGCAAGTTTGTGCAATTATATGATATTTTTTAAGCAAAACAGAACTCTTATATACATAGGGAGAACAACAGTACCCCCCCCCAAAAAAGGATTTTTTGAAAAAGATAAATGTTCTATTACCGATGTTTCTTCCTATTTTAAATTTTATTTATTGACTAGCAGCTAGGAAGCCAGCTTTCGTCTGGCATTTAAATGTATTGAAAAAATGCCTGAAGGAAACACCAATTGTTAAATTTTAAAACTGTGCAGAATTCTACTCTGCAGGACAACTTCATCAAATAAATAAATAAAAATGTGTTACATATCTCTCTTGATAAACTTTCAGTACTCAAGATAAATACAAATTCGGGAAAAAAAAAAAAAATATTACATATCTTCTCTCGATAAACGTCCAGTACCCAACTTCACACACACAAAAATTTTTTTTAATGTATTACATATAACAGAATTACTATGAAATAAGCAAAATCCCTTAATACAAATACTAATTATCCTAATAAATTAAATGAACCAGTGTCTTCTCTCAACAAACGTCCAGTATCCAAGAGAAACATTATATTTAAAAATTGCACAGAATTATCACCCTCATTTTTCCAAGTGGCAACAATGTTGATTTTCAACAGTCAGCGGTCCAGTATACAATTGAATGAAAAACTGTTGCCAAAACCACATTTCTAAAAGAATGAACTATTCAAAATGATGCAATAATATCAAAAAGATAAAATAAAAAAAAAAAAAATCTGATTCAAATTTTGGAAAAAAAAAAAAAAAAATCGCTTCGAGGTGCACTGGCTCTTGTCTAGATGCACCTTATACCAAATTTCGTAGCCCTGGGTCTACTAGCTTATATGCAGCATGAATGAAAGACACACAGACTCTTTCTCTTATTATATGTAGAGATTTCTCTTGAAATTAATTCTTAGTTGCCTCCATTTGGAACATGGCTGTTACCTTCCTTAACTTGGCAAAAAATTAGTCACCAATCAATTTGTGAATGCTCTCTAATGTTATGGAGTTCACAAATTTTCCATGGGGAGGGAATAGCAAATAATCAAAGAGTACCAAAAAAAATATTCTTGGATACTTTTCAATTAGATAATTTTTATGCAAGCAACATCTTAGAAATATATAATCAGAGTTTTAATATTAATGAAAAGGTACTAAAATATAATTTATTTGAACTTACCGATTTTGCACAAATATTCAAAGCTTTAAAATAATTATGTAACAGACACCAAGTTTTCCAACAATATAAAAACTAAAGAATTTCTCCATACTTTGTATTTTTATCATTAGTTTGGAATTTTGAGTCAATAACAGTAATGGAAAAAGAGAAACAATATACAGTTCATGAATAATGGCAACTATAACAATATACAAAACAAACAGCAAAATAATAATAATAGTGAAATAAAACTGACTAAAGTTAGGGTGTTAAATGAGCAACTAGTAAAAGATGGACTAATTACATAATTTACAATTGATCAGGATAAAAAAATACACAAGTCAATTTAAGTATTAGATTTGTACAAAAACACACTGCAGTTATAATCTTACTACAGACTTACTACTAATAATCATACTACAGACAAATAGTACCAGTGCAATTGGCTATATGTCAAAGTTTGGCAAACTTAAAGATTTAACCTTAACTAATTCCCATTCTATTTAACTTTATATAAGTTATACTGTGTTGCAAGATGAAAGAAATAATACTAGTACAACAGTGAATTAGTATGCTGTTCAAAATGGCAAAGCAGAGTTGCTAATCGTAAGAAGATAAAATTCGATTTAATAAGTAAAGGCAAGTCATATGCAAACTGAATTCTCAGTGGTTCTAGTATACAAGAGAGAGTTTAAATATATTTTTGACAACTATGCCAACTCTAGGTCTATTCACTAAAAGCTATAAAAATAATTTTCATGCTGAAACCAGTAAAATATTAGCACAATGTATGCAATGCCAGAATAAAGCTTAATGCCAGTGGACGTTTATAGAAGAAATATATTTTTTGGTGTTAAGAAATCACATTTCTATATATTTATATTTTATTTTCTGTGAGCAAAAACAGGATTATCTGAAAATAGTGATTGAAATGCTAGACTGTACTAGATGATTCAATTCTTTTAAGATTAGACTTAAACAATATTATCCTACACTCATATCATATATCAATACATCATCATATTTAGTAATGACATCATCTTTTGGGATAAGAAGGAACATGAATATAACTCATTCAAAAGCAGTTCTTTAAAAAATAGATAGCTTCTTTTAAAATAAAAAAATAAACTAACACAATGGACCATTAATGATACTGCTGAAGGAAATAACAAATGAGAATAATTTTTAAAAAAAATAATGGTTTCTTAGATACTAAAAAATGTTCATGACTAGAATAAACTTAGTTTGAAATATATTTGAGAACTTATTTTGAAAAAAAACTTGAATAGATTTCTGCCCATAAATATGCAACTATACCCTCTTCCCACAGTATTTCTTTACTACATGCATAGAGTTCTTGCTCTAGAGTATCAGCCCAATCCCTGAGCACTTAACTGAGTATATAAAATAGTGAAAAATCACTTTTTAGGAATACATTCTTATTTTCAGCAGGCAAATATAAAATTGTCAAACATGCAGTAAAAATACATTTTGATCACATCAAATGGCTACTGACAGTTGTCAATGAAAATTTAATATTCTTACAGACAGCAAAAATAGGACAGATGAAGAATCATGAAATGTTATATTAGTAGCTGCAATTTAGAGCTTAATACTCTAAGCTTTTTTTAAAGTGTATGCAACTTAGCATATACTGATTGTGACACTGGTGATATGGTAAAATATGAAGAACTGCTAACCATTTTTTTTTTAACTGCAGCAGAATGCAATACCTTATTTCCATTCTTATTGGCATGTTGGTTAGCGATGCTGGTTGGCATATCATATTATGAGGTTCAGATTCAAATCTGGGAGAAGGCATGGGGCACTTAAAATATTGGTGAGCAAAAAGTCCTCTCGAGTGGTTTGGTAGAAGAAGAGGAATGGGAGACCCTCAAATTTGTCCTTAGGGTGTACTACATCAAAACTGGGATGAAACTGTGTAATTAATATGGTGAGACTATACCTGTGAGACCATTTGGTGAGGTTCTTATGTCCCACCTACTTTTTCCTGTAGTACTTCATTTTGTACTGGAGAAATGAAGATACATTTTTTAACATTAAACAGTTTGTAATGATGTAGGTTAAACTTTTGTTTGCACTTTCATTTATATCCATATCTTTATATAGCTACTTAACACAAAGCTTACATAAGCTACTCATACAGAAATTTTTGACAACTGAAACATAAATGACACCAATATGCGGTCAATATGCAAACCTCTGAGCGGTGCAGGTTTTTGGATCTGTCATGAGACCTGAATTTAAATAGCATTTATTAGTTAAATTTGTATAATTACTTAGTCTCCATTTTCATGAACATACATTCATCAAGATGACATTTATATTATTTAAAAAAGTAAGAAATCAAAATATATTTCATTATATGCTAATATATATATAATCACAAAAAATCTCATGACTGGATCAGCTCAGAAGTTTAATCTATTGGTGCCCAATTAGTTAAAGCCATACAACACTAATAGTTTTTTATCTTAATTTCAACTATCATTGATAAAACAAACTATCTGAATGCATGCTTTTAAGGTTTTCCTAAGGTGTAATATATGCTTTTAAGGTTTACCCAAGATGTAATATAAATATAAACACTTTCTTTAAAGATTCTACACAAAGGCCCATCTGTGCTTTTACAGAAATAATTCTCTTAATTTATGAGCCAACTATGAAAAAATAATGCAGTACAGTGACTTACATAGTGAATGGCTATCTACAAACATATAAATGCTTACACAGTAAGGAAGTCAGCAGGGACAGCTACCAGGCCAAAGCACCAGGTGAAATTTAAATGTCTGTGACTGTTGTGTCCACACAGATCAGATGCACATAACAATCTGTCAGCTTAAAAATGTTTTCATGTGGTTAGTTGCAGAGAAAGAACAGAAGATTCTCAGATATTTCTCCTTGGGGATAGTTTGATTGCAATTTAAACAGTATGCTTGGCAAATGCAGACGTCATACCTGTTAATATATGATACAAACTGGGATTCTGTGCTCTGCTTTCAATCATCATATACTAATCAATAAATGAAGTAGCCTAAAAGATTTAAAATAATGCATTCAAACAAGAAAAGATATATAGCTTTTCATAACAAATATTTTGTTTCTACTGAATAAAATTTTTAATTGCTTCATAAAGCTGCTAAATAATTTCTAAACATAATTACAACTCTAGCCCAATTTTATCCTTTCTAGAAAACGTAAAATGTAAATGGGTCTCTTTTGCTCATATTCAGTAATACTTGCATAATTTTCATTAAATCATAACAAATCCTTGCCTTTGTTCTGCTCAGTAAAATTAGTGTTTTCACAGTAAAAATTTGAATACTTCTGAAATTAAAAAAGATATTCACACATATAATTTAATCTCGTCGTTCTTTGAACAATGGAACTGAATTTTCACATTCTAAAGTACAAACTGTTTCACAAATTGATAAGCACAAACAATTTTGACAGCATTAAACATTTTCATTTCTTACAGAAGGAAAAACAATTATGACTGCAAATATTTTCAAAACTTGGAAGTTTATATGTCCTTGTAGAACAATTTTGGAGAAAAAGATCAAAATCTGATTGTTGAGGTACAAACAATTTATTTTATAAAAGTTAGTTACAGATAAATCAGTTATTTCAGCCTAAAAGTTAAGCCACATATTAACTTCAGAATTTCTGAAAATTTTATGATTGAGAATAATTGTAGTGTGAGGTGTGCTTTATTTCATACTGGCACAGATTTCTGTTTTCTAAAATGTTTCAAATATACTAATACATTAGCTAAAAATCCTACATGTGCATCATTCAGGAAATGAAGTGATTTCAAGTACAGAATACACTACATATAAGTATAAAGAAACAAAGAATAAGCTTTGAAGGTACTTCAGTCTCCTTAAATTTTGAGTCCATATTCTTGATAACATGGATAACCCTGATTACTTCCATATTTTCCTATTTTTAATCAATTTCATATGCTGAATCCCTGTAGATTTTGTAACATTAAGTGTTATTAAATATTTCAAATCATTAAAGATCATAATTTAAAATTTTAATAGAATGGACTTTTTTAACACCAACATCTTATATTATTCACTCACATATTAACTAATATATGTTATTCTTACAAGTTGTTTTCTCTAAGTCACCGATAAACATCAAACTAGTTAGCAAGATCATACATTATCATAGCAATTTCTTGTTAACTGTGAATTTAATCTTGCTTGTTTTGTCATAGCTCTTTCTCCCCCTCAATTTCATAAACATAACTCACTGAGGTTTACCAGATCATGAAAACAGTAGCTATCTTTCCCTCCCAAGCTTAAAATAAACTATACTGAAAATCTGGAAACATCCTGGAAAACTATACTGAAATCTGGAAACACCCACAATCTGCTTGGGGGGATAAAGACAGACCATATCAGGGATTTATTGTACAACTTGTTTAGGTATCGTACACCCAAATGGTTTTATGAGGTTACAATGGCAAAACACACTTTATGGCATGTAATCATGAACAGTGCTATAGAAATAAAAGAATTAATTAATATGTAACTGATCTTCATAATTATTTCATTTAGCAGTTTTATCTTATATAATCACAATCATGCACATTTCTGAGACTAGTTAACACTAACTAAAAATCATTACCATTTCTTGACAATAATGAAAATTTCATCAAAATGTATGTTTCGTGCATTAATTTCTTATTCACGTTTCTCACTAACATGACCATTTTGAAGCTATTTAATAAACAGTCCAGCTCAAAAGAAGGAAATACACTAGATGTTAATTGTTCCCACTAAATCTGCAACATGTAGTAAAACACCTTAACATGGCAATAAGTCTTAAAAGCACTTCTACACTTCATTTAAAATGCTCAGTTTACTAATATCAGAGCTAAGTAGAAATAATTAGTTTTCTAGTCAGCAAAATATACAATTTTCTACTAATTAAATATCATATCATAAAGCTAACTAACTATAAGTGAAACATGAAGTTTTCACACAAATTTATGACAAAATAAAAATTAAGCCAGAATAAAATTTTAAATTAATTCAAATATTAGAACACCTTTTCATATCTAATGATAATCATGCAATTCATTCTTTTTCAAATATTGTGAAGTTTCTCAAGGTGACCACCTCTAATATTCATAAGAACATAAACAAACATCGGTATTGAACTATACTTCTTTATGACAACCTCGGATAACGTACATATAGAATTATCTGGAATTATTAATGGTAATCTCAGACAGTGCTCGTTATTATCTATTGATTGACTGATGAAAAATAAAACAAAAAATCGCACTACTATTCTTCATGCATTATTATATATAATGTCATTACTCGTATATACAGAGCCTTCTTCATCACCATGAAGCTTTTAGCATGGATGACATATTTAAAGCAATTTTTTTAATTATTCAATGGCAAAATTCTTCAGATACATCCCAAAGCTTCCGTGCCAATGTAGGATCAGAAGCTACATCAGCTATAGGCTCTTTTTGACAATTTCTGTAATAAAATCCACTTTCACTTTCAACTTCTTCAGAAACTGCGCAGTGAAGAACTGTCTGACAGCCCTCATATGGCGTTCTGATGAAGAACCACGCAACAGGAGCTAATGCAACAATTTTCCACCAACTGATTGAAACATGTCGGCCTAAATTTGTCCACACCATACCAGGGCTAACTGTATATACAGAAACTCCAGTTCCTTGAAGCCGTCTGGACAGTTCACATGAAAAAAGAACATTTGCCAATTTGCTATTTTTATATGCTTGCATTTTGTCATATTTGACTTCAGAATTCAAATTCTCAAAATCTATTTCGCCTCTCTTGTAAAGAGCCGAAGAGACAACTACTATACGTGACGGTGCGGATTCTTTCAACTTCTCTAATAAAAGTTTGGTCAATAAGAAGTGCCCCAAATGATTAACGCCAAACTGCATTTCATACCCATCATTAGTCTTCATAAAAGGACACTGAAATATTCCAGCATTATTAATCAGAACATCTAATCTATCTTCGCTACGCAAGAATTCTTTGGCAAATTTCTTTATGGAATCAAACGAAGCAAGATCTAGCTGTAGGACTTTTAGAACGCCACTTCTTGATTTTGATCTTATTTCTATCAATGCTTTTTGAGCCTTTTCCTGATCCCGGCAAGCCAATATAACTTTTGCACCACGTTTTGCAAGTTCTAAAGCAGTTGCTTTGCCAATACCTGAATTCGCACCAGTGATTATAACGGTCTTGTTTTTCATAGACTTTTTGCTTCTGCACTTTCCCCAAGTATACTCTCGATATTTACGAAGTACGAATAAGCTTAATATAACTACAGCTGAGGTACTTAAAATTTTTATGATCATACTGATGGTTTCGAAATGTCAAATGATATCTACTAAAGCTTGATCAAAATATCAATACAGAAGCAGTAGTAGTAGTATTTTTTCTTGCTTTCGAAACGCTACTTTTATGAAGACTTCAGCCGGAAAATTAATTTTATAATTCTTTTATGGGATATTACAATTCTAATATTAAAAAGTGTAGCTATTATGAGATTTGAAAGCTTCAAAGGAAAAAAATCCTCGTCCTCTTTTACAAGATGAATGATTGTTGTTGTTGTCTTGTCAAAGGAGTCAGTGCAGCGAAGTCTAACAGAACCGAAAGTTTCCAGAACAGCCGCAGCAACATTAATGATCTTATAGAAGAATAAAGGAGTTGATGCTAGGGAGCTATATCTATACTGAAGAGCTTGGCCAAAATAGCAGGACAGTCGAAGAGATGGTCTGGAGAAAGTTGGATATCAGGACATTGAAGACAGCAGTTCGTAATTTCGTTGGTCATCAGGAGCATATCTTCATTCCTTTGAAGTGTTTTCTCCTAAAGTAGACGGACAGATGTCTAGTTTTGCATCCGCTAAGGCTTTCTGCACCGATGAGCGAAAAATCAAGCTTAGGAAGGAAAGAGGGGACAAAATAAAATTTAAAATAAATGGTTCAAAAAATAATAGAGGGAGGGGAGAAAAAGAGAGAAAGGGCCTATAGAAAGAAAAGATGTGGAAAATACCCTAAAATACGATTGTGTCCATGAGTGTAGTCAAAATGAGAGGAAGCTGTTCCTTTTGACTACACTAATGCACAATAAATAGTGTCTCAGGTGCGTGTAGTAAGTGTGTTTAGTCGCAGTGGCTAATCGCACCGACGGTGCGAATAGCTAACACGCTATTCACACCACCTACGTTCGCGCATTTCCAGTAAAGCAGGCAGTAGTGAGAGCGAAGGTTGTTAACCCTAACTCAGCAATAGAAAGGTTTGTTAGTAGTTCACCAGCAAAGAATAATTTTCAAGTAATAATTATCAGTTACAAAGACGAAGTCAATCTATATACATGATAATGTTCAGGAAATGGTTTAGATAAAATAGGGATTTAATGATGTTTCTGATTGCAAGCGAGGACGAAGTAATTAGTTAAAAAAATCTTTAGTGTATTGACAAAAAGGCTACAGAAATTACTTAAATTCTTTTATTTAACAGAGGAATTTTGTGCAAACTTAGACCCTAGTTCTTATAGCATAGGACTGTCAGAATTTTATATAAGTCAATAAGAAAACTTACTGAAATGATAATTCTTATATTCTTATTCACTTTTTCAGTATCCACTCATGTTTATAGGTTTAAAATGCCATATTTCAAAATCAAAGTTATTTATGAAATAAAAACCTTATAAAATCTGATAAATCATTTGTGTGTGTGCAAATTTTAAATCTAAATCTCTTACATTAAATTATTTTCTGTCTTTTAATTACATCCCATTATTATTTTCAATTTAATTTATTAATGTGTTTGTACTAATATTTCAAAGTACTTTTTGTTCCTGAAAATGCCAAGGATTTCCATAAAAAAAATAAGCAGGCATACAGAATAATTCATTTAATATTTCATATAATCGCTTTTAACTTATTTCATGTCTAAATTTTTTACACAGAAATCCGCTGTCTAATTTTTAGTATCTTTTATCGGACGAAATTTTTCAAAGAGGAATGAATTAAAGGCTTGATTGAGCAAAACACATCTTTAAAGCTAAATGTATTCTAAGAAGTATAAAAAATGTCAGCACGATTTCCCCCCCCCCCTTTAAATCAGTCATTTAAACTATTCAAACCGTTCAGGAAAAGGATATACATTGCGAACATAAAAATCTGCCTTTTTATATATATTTTAATAAAAGGAAATGTGTTCCTTCTTTTTATAAGAAAAGGAACCCATTTTTCCATTCTAAACTTTTGAAAGTCGCCAACGCTTAAAAAATGATAACTAAACGCCATGGTAGAAACCGCCTTTTACAACTCAATGCGCATGCGTGGTTAATGTTGGTGCGAATAGCTTAAGCGGCTAATCGCACCGGTGGTGCGAATAGCATCGGCCGTGTTTGGTAAGGCCGATGCTATTCGCACCAACATTAACCACGCATGCGCTTTGCGTTGTCGGATCTGTCATTTGAACTGAAGAAAGAGAGATTTTTATGTTCGCTTAAATTATTCCAACCGTTCACGAACGGTTGGAATAGTTTAAATGACTGATTTGGGAAGGGACTAAAACCTCGTTTACATTTTTTGTACTTCTTAGAATACATTTAGATTCAAATATGCGTTTTGCACAATCAAGATTTTTGTTCATTCCTCTTTGAAATTTTTCGTCTCAGAAAAGGGACATTAAAAGTTAGGCAGAGTATGTCTGCGTAGAAAATTTAGACATAAAATAAGTTAAAAGCAATAAATTAAACTATTAAATTAACAATTAATCATATAATACTGGTTATTAACAATTTTGTAATTTTTCTATGGAAATACTCTTCATTTTCAGAACACAAAAATATTCAAAGAAATACAAACACATTAATAAAATTAATTAAATAAATAATGGGATGTAATTTCAAAGATAAAATAATTTAATGTAGAGATTTAGATTGAAAATTTGCTAGGAATGAATTATCAGATTTATTTCATAAATAACTTTGATTCGAAATATGGCATTGAACCCATAAACATGGTGGAACGAAAAGAATGTATATATAAGAATTTCAATACGTTTCTTACTCAATAATAAATTCGACAGTTCTTGCTGTAAGACTAGGTCTCAGTTTGCATAAAAATTGCTGTGTTAAATAAAGAATTTAATATTTATGAAAAATTGGCTGTTTACGAATAGTCCTTTTTACATTCAAAGGTAAATAGTGTACTTAACGTTTCACGAGTTTATACCCTCGTGAAATTTCCCTTCTCGTTTTAATCAAACAGCAATTTGATTTCATACATTTCTTTTGCCCTTTCAAATCAAATATTGGAAAACTTGTTCTCGTCGTGAATTGAATTATTCTATGTCTCGTCGATATATAAGAAATAAAATAATACAGAAAGTACGAAAATAACATGCTCAACTTCAATCATTGATGTTCCATAGGACACTCTGGCGCTAGGCTTTCGTTCTTACGCGTAACATCTGATCGCACTATGACACAAAATCAGCTTCTCACAGAAATATTTCCGCGCGATTCGGTGGCGCTGGCTATTAGGCAAGATTCTCCTCTGTCTCCCAGTGTGTTACTAATAAAAAACACTAAAGGAAGAAATTGTTTTGACACATCCATCGTCCCAAAAATATCAAACAAATAACACCGTCAAGAAGATTAGCAGAAATTGTAATAACCTCATTATCGCTAAATTAGGGTTAAAACACTCCACTATTTACGGCACGGAGTATAAATCGTAATGGCTGTACCTGGATTGATTGTGCGATGCGCTAATTGGTGGTGAGATTCCTAGAGCTGCCGGACAGGACTTAAAAGAGAAAGGGCTAGCTCATAAGAGCTTTTTCCCTGACCGAAAGTGAGAAGTGATGACGTAGCATGATGACACTACGCGCCAATATATTCAAGCTTGGAAATTAGCGTTTTTGAACAGCGTTAAAATGCGCGTGTGAAAGATAGCTAATTGGAAGAGGCATGTACTGCTTTATGCATTTAGACTGACCATGAAAAATTTAATATGCTTATTCAATTTTAAAAAATAGATAAATGTGCTACTCTTTAGTAAGTTCCGTGGTTTTTTTTTTTATTTGCAGGTTTTTTTATTTAATGCCGTGTATTCTAATCATTTCTTATTTGAATGCTAACTGAGAGAATTTTTATACTGCTTCTAAGAAACTATAATAGCACATTTAACTTACTCAAAAACACTTTAATTGACATAGGTTTAAATATAGACATATATGGCAAAATTCTGCAAACCTACGTTTTGATTTTTTGCCTAATTTAAATTTACATTGTTATACTCTCTTCCGATTCAATATATAGATATTTTTTAATATTTTGTAATTTATACTTATAGCTATATACATTAAATAAATGTATATAAATTGTTACCTTAATTTTGACAAAATAGCTTATTCGGTACATAACCAGTTATTTAATTTTTCAAAAGGTGAGTAAAGGAAGCAGGTCTTTTTATGCCACTTACTTTGATGTTTTACATTATTTTTATGAGCAGCGAACCTATCAAAAATCTAATCATAATATACAAAGATACCATAAGAATAACTTAACAGTGTTACAAATTAGTTGTTAACTACTTGTTCTTGTTGTACTTTGGTACTATTCATATACCTAATATATCGATTAACTCAAGAAGTCATAGCTTTCTGATTTCCTGTGGGTAGAGTATACCTTTTGCGGTACTTTTGAAATATGTTTCTCTGGAGCGAATTTTGCCTCGGTTCCTTGACCATTAAATATTTGGTTTTAGTTTGTGACACAATTGGATTCTTCGCATTCTATTAAAACCTCTTAATAATATCAAATTTAAACAGTTACATCTTCTAAAACAATCCTCTATCTAAAACGCGGTTTCTCAGTATTGAGGCAAGGCGAAATGATACCTCTGCTTAAAAAAAAACTGCCCATTTGAAAAGAACCAACTTGTCAGTTAGTAGTCAAGCAGAGTTTTCAATCTATATGCATTCGTCGAAACTGAGAACGCATATTTTTTTCTATAGAAATACAATATTCGCCTCTTTCCTTCTTTAGAGTAAGAACATTCTTGATTCTTGACTAACTAAAATTAGAAAAACTATAAAAATAAAAACAAACCATTTCTTTAATTGATAATCTAGGTAAAGATATTCAATTTTTTTTTAATTTTTTTCTTTCAAATCATAGCTTTAGATGACAAGCTCTTATGCGATTCAACATGAAATATTTTCACTAATCACCTGATTATTTTCTTCTTTTTCAGTAATGCATTAATGCGTTTTAAAAAAATAGGCTTAGAGTTTTTTAATTCTCCGATTTGTGCTCCCCCCCCCCAATTTCGCTATATGAGATTTTAATTTCGATACCCTTTCTGCTAGATGTTGTCAACCTCTTGTCGTGACACATTCTAAATTTTCTTTCTCTATTTTTCGCTACTTTAATACAATTTAATACATTTTCTAAGGATATTTTTGTGCTTCAAAGATCAATGCATCTGTTATCATAAACATTAGGATGATCTCATTCATTTGTAGTTTTATTTCAAATCATTAAATTTGTTTATATTGTCATCATCAATTTCCTTTATTATTGTCATCATAATTTACTTCGGCACAGATTAATTTAACAGTTCTTTTTGTGGCTATCCAAACAAGCGATTCTATTCATCTTCATAAATACTGCACAGAAAATGTTCGCTGCAGATTTTCCGCTCTTCACATTAAAAATTTCTTGACATTCGTGTTCCATCTTCATCAAAGCAAATCTCATTGGGGATCCTTTGGTCCCATGAAAAAAATATCCATCCTTCATACTTCTGTAAGGCTACGGCACGTTACTGCAGCGC